ATATATATATATATATTTTTTAAAAATTATATAGTTTTGGGATAAAAGATAATATTGTAGATATTGCAAGTTGAGATCGAAATTTTAAATTTATGGTAAGAATTAATTAAATTTAAATTTGAATTTAATATGTATTATTTTATTTTATAATGTATCAATACAAATAATGACAAAAAATAGAAGTCACTTATAGTGTAAATTAATTTAAATAATGTCGAGGTCAACTTCCCCTAAGCTATATCTACTAGGATTAAATTGGGGGTTGGGCAATATTTTTTAATAACAAAACGATAAAATGCAAAGAAAAGAAGCAAATAGACTACTTTTTTTTCTTTTGTAATACAAACCATTACAAGTAGATAAAGTTTAAACTCTAGTAATCCCAACTAGATAACCCAAAAAACAACTAGCGACTGTGGCTCATTTTGGGCTTTCTTGTACCGTTTAGACCAAATAAATTAGTGAGATCCTTTTACTATGTTTCTTTGAGTGAGATGGGCCTATAGAGAACCAATTTCATACAATGCGACCCTAATTTTTGGGTTCTTCATCAAATTTTTTTTTAATTATGATCAAAGTTTGATTTTGAAAATTTTAATTATGGAATCGATTTGAATATTATTGAATTACTAGCTTATTTTATATATGTTTTTTTTTTTTTTAGCTAAAGATGATTTTTTCTTTTTTCTTCATAATTCATTGGTAAAAACCCTTAAAAGGCCTAATGACAAAATTACTACTCTTATATTTATTCAAAATATTATATGTATTCATTTAATACACTCATTTAACGTATTCGTATAAAATTTTATTTTTGAAATTCTATTATATTTCATAAAAATTTTAATTCTTTTCACTTAAATTTATAAAATAAAACATGAAATTAGATGGATTTATTTTTTTTATAAAACAAATCAGTAGTTTAAGAATAAAAAAATTATAATTATTATAATTTAAATTCTAAATTTTTTAATTTTCATATTATATAATCGAATTAAATTTTAAATTTACATAAATATATTATTTGAGAATAATATGTTAATACGTTGCGCGCTCATAACATTTTTTACAAAAAAAGTTGCTTTTACATTATTAAAGCTTGAGCCAAGCAGTACTGAAGTGCAAGCTTTGAAGGGCGTTCCCAATCTCATTTGTAAGCCTATATATTTTTTTTATACTAGTATTTCGCGTACTAAAAATTGCTATCTGACATTAATATTACAATATTCAATTTATTTTTGAAGTAAATTTGAATAAGTATGCATTACTATACAATAAAAAAATTAATTTAGATCAGATCATAAAATTGACTATAAAAATATCTAAAATAATATTCCTTTCGTCTCATTTTATATGTTTCTATTTGATTTTTTTTGTTAAATGAATTCAACTTTGATTATTATTTTTTAAAATATTATATTAAATTAAAATTTTGAAAAATATAAAAATCAAACTTTACAAATTTTATTTTTAAAATTTTTAAAATTTTATTAAAAATAATGATTAAAATTGAGTTTATTAAACCAAAAAATCAATAAAAGACAAATATAATGAGACGGAGGGAGTAGATGAATATGCAAATACGTATGATAGAACATGATTAGAATATATAAATATAATTGTATTATATAAATAAATTATATTTTATGTTTTTCCCTTACAAAAATTCCTTTCTCTTTATCTACTTTTAATAACCTCAAAGCTCGAACACACCCATATAATTAACCAAGATATAAAAAATGTAAAGGCCCAAGACGTCATCCTTTTGTTTTTTATTTGGGCTAGGCCTATCACTCCTTAAAAGTAACATGTAAACTCTTTTAAAAATATTGGACTTAATGATTTTAAGCCCAAATTAAAATAAAAAGAAAGCCCTGTTGTTTTCTTTTAAGTGTGGAAACCATGTCACAAGTAAGGTGAGTAATTCAATCCGTCTCCGATAAGTTTTGACCGATTCAATTTTATAAGATTGATTTTTTTTTTTTTTGAAATGAGATTTCAAGTCGGTTCGAGTAACTGTAAGAAAATATCGGGTTCGAATTTTAGACAAACCCGATCCGACTTAATATTATATAAAAATAATATTTAAATTAATTATATATATTTCTATAATTATATATTTAAATATTTATATTTAAAAAATAATATTTTATTAATTTTCGATCGGATTAAGTACTATTTATATAATATCGAATCGAGTTTGAATTCAGATATTAAAAATAAAAAAATTTTGGATCAAATTTGAATTTAACAAATATAAAATCGAGTTAGATTTGAAATGAATAAAAATTCACTTCATCTTATTCCTTACCATCCTTAATCAAAAACGTTGAAACTTTTGAAATTAATAATCCTTAACAATATTATAATTCTCAATATTCAGTGTTTATAAATATAATTACATAATATTACAATTTATTTTCTTTTTTTTCTATACCCCTTATCAGACCAATAATCTATCACTTTCGAGTAAATTTGTTTTCATATTTTATGTTTGATTTGCCTAAAGAGAAAACGAGCATTCCAACCACACAATGTCGGACGCATATATGGTCTCTATGACGACACGACTCGGTTGACATTTTTATTGCACAGCATCGTCCATTTAAACACGGTCTTGATCACAGTGTTGCATTTGCACTGTTGGATGATACCGTTCCTAATAAATGCTATATCACTTGCCCATGTTATATGCCGTGCGTCCTTTTCCCATCATCTGCCACTTTGTTGGCCAATTGAGAAAACCTTTAAATAGTTTTTTTTTTTTGTCTCAAAATTATATTATATTATTTATATTTTAAAATTATATTTTATGATTTTTTATTTTTTGACATTAAAAATTATGAAATTTTAATTTTATAAATTTTTTTTAAATTTCATAAAAATTAATACATAATAAACATTTTTCATGTCGGTTCTTGTTTTATGCAAGGCTTGTAGAAAAAATAAATGAGAGTAATCTTGATTAAGGAAGTATTAACTTTTTCTTCAATGTGATACTACTTGTTTTCCTATTTCCATGTAGAAAGGTCCAGCAAGTGAAATTACCATGAAGTTCCTAGTTTCATTTATTGCACGTGGTGAAAGTAGTCGTATTAGTACTTTTGTTTTTTTTTTCTTTTTTTTGAAAAACAATGGTGGTTTTGATCTGAATTCTGAAGTTGATAAATGAATTAGCTTAGGAAATATAATTTTTTTTTTAGCTTAGTTTGAATATGGAATTGAAAACACTTATTTTGCATATTTTGTATAAAAATTTAAACATCTTCTTTAAAGTACACAGCCAACGATACTTCCAAATTTTTAATATGAATAAAAATGTTTTATACACAAAAAAAAAAAACATATATACACAATTATTTTATAATGTTATTTTCTAAAAATAAAAGTAAAATATATTTTTTATTAAATTGACTATAACACAGGAAGTCGACCTTTCACCGCTTGGCGTCTTAGCCTAAAGATATCAGGATGGTTTCCTAGGTATGTACGCTACGCTTGAGTTTGAAACTTTGGGTAAAGTGGTAAAAAAACGTTTTTTTTTTTTAATTTAATTTAAATTTATTAAAAGATTGAATTTTTTTAAATTTTTTAAATTTAATGTTAATAAATTTATTTGAATCAATAAAAAAAATATTTTGATTAAAATTCAAATTCTCTTTGACGGTAAATAAAAAAACTCATTCTTCCATCTCTAAAGGTTTATAAAGTGTAAACTAGGTCAAGTTCTTCGAGCATATTTGGCCTCAATTAGATAAGTAAACAATTTAAGTTGAGTTTGCAATAATATTTTTTTGAATAATTTGTAACTTTTATTGAACTTTAAATTTTTTTTTTATTTTTATACTATATACCTATATAAAATTATAAATATAATATAATATTTATTCACATATTTTATTGTATTACTTGAGCTTTTATTTTGAATTTCAATTTAAGTTTGAAGCGAATTTCAAAATTTTTATAAGTTTATATTTAATATATTATTAGTATATAAATATATTATCAATAAATCAAATGATATCATTTTATTAATAATATAAATTAAATTATAATATCTCATGATTAAGTTTTTAAAAAATACTAATTTTAAATTTATTTTAAAATTTAATATTTATTTATTAATAAAATAATATCATTTTATCTATTTATAAAATATAAAATTTATATATTAATAATACATTAAATATAAGCTTTTTCTTTTTATAAATTAACTATAATTAAACCTAATTAAATCTAATTTGAGAAACTCAATTTATTTTTAAAATTGAGTTAAAAAAATTTAAATTCAATTATATTTTACTTTTAAAATTTTAATTGAACCAAACACAATCCTAACAATAATGGATTAAATGCCCTTAATGTTCTACTTTGCAAAAGAAAAAAAAATAGTTGACTTTTTATACAAAATGTTGACGTGGATTATGATTACTTTATATATTATAAAACATCGATCACGTAATCTGAGGGAAGGCGTCAACAGACGGGTTTGCCAATGTCAATTGGCAAATACTAAGATCATATCCTTAAAATAATTTAACCAAAAAAATAAAAATAAAATATAAGCACGAAAAAAAAAAAGCTCTCTTCATCCCATTTTTTTAATATTTTTTAGGATGTCTTTAAATTGTATACTCTTTATGTTTGAATCGTTAAAATTTTTATTTTATATATTTCAAAATTATATTTTAAAAATTTTAAAATTTTAGGAAACTTTAATATTCAATGTATTAAAATTATTTTTTAAAATTTGTAAAAATTAATTATATTTAAATAATATGAGACGGAAAAAATACTATAAATTGTTGTACGGCTTTGATTTGATCTTCTGATTCGATCAATGCCATTTGGATGGAGACTGAAAGACCTATTCCCCAAAATCATTATCTCAGCAAAGCAATTAGACTTTTTCCCTTCGACAAAGCCTAAGTCATTAACCCCTAGATTAACGCCCACCAAACAAAACTAATTCCCCAAATTTCCCCTTAAAATACGCGAAAAATGGGACCCAAAATCTATTTTCAAAGGGCCGGTCAGTCTCAACTCAAGCTCATGCCACCATTGTTTTTTGTAAGCGGAACTGACCATAAAAGGGTGTCTCTGTCTTTACGTCTTTTGACCTCATCTCCAAGCCCAACAATTTTCTTTTATAGTTTCCTTCCAATTTTCATCGTATCTTTTATATTTGCCTTCCATTAAATCTCTCCGTTTTCATCGCTCTGTTTATCCTTATTCTCCTTTCTTCTTTATATCTTCTTTTCTTTTTGTTTTACTTTCCTTTTGGAGATGAATCAAATAGAAATGGACCCAGAGCAACACGGAGTCGACGATGATCAGAAGAAGATTCCCAACGGTGGCGGAAACGGAAAAGTGAATGGAACCGCCGTCTCGGGTGATCAAGATGGAGGAGAATTCTCTGATGTCGAGATGGAGAAAAGCTGTGAAGAGAAGGAGGAGCAGCACCAAGACAAGGAGGATTCTAATCCAAGTTCCCCCGACGTTAGCGAAAACCACGACACCGACGCTAAGGAGGTTAATCTTAATCCTCAAACCAATGGTAATGGCCATAATCATTACATACCAGCAATCAAGGCACAAGTTCATCTCCCAAAACCTGAGCCACCACCACAGCCAAAAGCGGAACGTTCACAATCGTTGTCCATGGCCGAAAACATGCCTTCCATAGGAAAATACATCAGAGACCGAAGCAGCACTTTTTCAGCAGCAATCATCAAACGCTTATCATCATTGAAAGAAGATAACGGGGATTTCATCGTGAAAAACGATTCGTTAAACTTCGAGGCAACAGAGTTCAAAATCCCAGGGGTCAAAGTTATAGTAAAACTGAAAGGCGAAGACGAAAGGCAAGAGTTAAAAGGTCGGATAACGTTTTTTACAAGGTCGAACTGTCGAGACTGCACCGCTGTTCGTAAATTCTTCAGAGAAAAGGGCCTTAGATACGTTGAAATAAACATCGACGTGTTCCCCAAAAGGGCGAAGGAGTTGGTCGAAAGAACAGGGAGTTCCGAAGTACCCCAGATATTCTTTAACGAGCATTTGTTGGGTGGATTGGTAACATTGAATTCATTGAGAAATAGTGGGGAGTTGGATAAGAGAATGAAGGAATTGTTGGGTCAGAAATGTCCAGAGGAAGCGCCTGATATAACAGCTTATGGATTTGACGATGAGGAGGAAGAAGAAGATGAGTTGGTGGGGATTGTGAAGGTTCTGAGACAGAGCTTGCCTATTCAGGATCGTTTGATTAAGATGAAGATTATCAAGAATTGCTTTGCTGGTGCTGATATGGTGGAAGCCATCATTCACCACCTTGACTGCGGCAGAAGAAAGGTAATTTCTTTACTTTTTTCCCTTATTATTATTTTTTTAATTTTTTTCCAATTTTGCTTGCTTATTTATTGGTCTTAATTTACTTCGTCATCAAAACCTTCCGCAGTTTCTCTTTTGGACGAGAAAACGTGTTTGAATGTCTCTCATCGAATGGAATTTTTTTTTTACTTTAACTTCATTTTATTTTAAATATATTACCAATTAAAATATTTTTAAAAAATTTAAATGAAAAATTTTCAAATATAATTTAAAAAAACATATTTAATATATTAAAAAAATAAATGATCAAATGATTGTAAAAAATCAAATCAGAAGTAACTTACAAACGAAGGAAGCAAGTTATTGTTTTTTTTTTTTCGGATTTGATTTTAAATCATGTTTCCCCATTTCATTTCAAAAATAAAAAGACCTTTTTTTTTTGTCTTCGTGGGCCCAATGAAACATACACGGTTACACTCACGACGCTAGTGATGGGTTGCACGCCGCACGCTGAGTGCCAGTATGATAGCACCGCGTTCGTCCAATTATATTTATGTTTATTTAAGTTTATTATTATTGCTACTAATCGAAATTGAAATGATGATTATTATTATTATTCAAATTAAGTACTAGTGATTGTGGATTAGCAACAACTCTTATGTTATAGTTATAGGCTTATCGCAATCCTCTCATCACATAATTGGACGTACCATAAGGCTACATAACAGTAATCATGCGTCTGGTCAAGGATTATTAATGTTATGCCAAACCATAATCATTAGTACATTTTGATGTTATAAGTTAGTATTTAACTTTACTTTTTCACAAAAAAAAATCTTAGTTTAATATAAAAAAAGAAGTTATAAATGTTATGATTTGAAATTTAAATATATTTAAATATTTTTTAAAATAATTTTATTAATTAATTAAATTAAAATTCGAATTAAAAAAATCTTAGCTTGTCATTGAATTGATGGCCTTGTACGATACTTGTTCGGAAAGTGGTCCACCAGACTTGCTATTATAGGGTTTACAACTCTTGTCATTAGTTTGCAAATTAAGTTGGGGTAAATGGAAGGCAAGTTGTATGTTAATTGCTATTTCTTCAAGAAGCATTTAATTCAATAATTAATACATTATTTTATAATTTATTCAAAAAGCTAAATTTTGGGTTATCGGAGCAGAGCCCTATACATTCAAATTAAATCTGAAGAAATATTTGCATAATCATGGCGGGAAAGCGAATCAAGTGGACCAGCCATGACTACTTCAAGAGTTGGTACTTGATAGCTTTTAACAACAGATGTTCGAGGGCCTACATCATCTGAATGCTTGGCCTCCTCGCCGTCCTTACTGCCTAATTTCTCGCCTTTCTTTGTGGCCCCAAATTTTGCTTCTTGGACTTCCATTAACGACTGTTTTTGTGTACAAACCTCAGCGAATAGAACCGAGTTGTTAACTTGACATGGATGACATGAATCAGATGTCTTGCAGGAGATATTGACACTTTTTTAATCCTTCATAAATTATATACAGGGCATTGAAACTGCAAAGCGGCTGGCCCAGAAACACTTCATCCACCATGTCTTTGGGTAGGCACACGGTCTCGTACATTACTTCTAATGTTAATTTTAAATATACTTTTCTTCTAGACCTGACATTTCTTTCAATGGTTTAATTGCTATTTTTGTTCAGGGAAAATGATTTTGAAGAAGGAAAACATTTTTATCGTTTCCTTGAGCATGAACCATTTATCATGGGATGCTTCAACTTTCGAACTTCAACAAATGATAGTGAGCCCAAATCCGCATCTTTTCTAGCGGATAGACTCACCAGGTTAATGTCAGCCATACTGGAAGCATACGCGTCTGATGACAGGCTACATGTTAACTATTATGCCATCAGCAAAAGTGAAGAATTCCGCAGGTATTTTGCTTCTTCATTTCCTCTTTAGATGATTTTGCTCCAATGCTGTTCAGGGATCAGAGTGGTGGGGAGCGCATTGATTATTTCATCCCATAATCATGATAAATATCTCTAACCTTTTCTTTGTCTTTTACTGTTGATGCAGGTACTTAAATTTGGCACGAGATCTGCAAAGGGTCAATCTCCAATCACTCACTCCAGATGAGAGGCTAGCCTTCTTCTTAAACTTATACAATGCCATGGTCATCCATGCTGTAATCAGCATCGGACATCCTGAAGGAATACTTGATAAGAGAGCCTTTTTCTGTGATTTCCAATATGTAGTTGGAGGGTACCCTTACTCCCTCAGCATCATAGAAAATGGGATCCTCAGAAACAATCGAAAGTCCCCTTATTCCTTGATCAGGCCCTTTAGCAATGGAGACAGGCGCTTAGAGGTAACCCAACTTCATCAATTTCTTCCGTCTAGATTTTTGCAACCTTTCACGTTATAAATCATGCATGCTTGACAAAATTTTTTTTTTCCATTTTAAATTGACAGCTTGCTCCTACTAAAGTTAATCCATTAATCCATTTTGGGCTGTGCAATGGAACAAGGTCAAGCCCAACAGTGAGGTTTTTCACTCCTCAGGGTGTTGAAGGTGAGTTAAGATGTGCTACAAGGGAGTACTTCCAGAGAGGAGGAATAGAGATTAATTTGGACAAGAGGACAGTTTATTTAACTCGGATCATCAAGTGGTAAGTTTTCAACTTACTGATGTCAACTAATTCGTATTAACTGCTTCTTACATCAAAATTGAAAAAAAAAAAACCGAAAGTTAACTAAATTGATTTATACAATCATTTTTACAATAAATTATTTAATAAATCTTGAATTAAAACCCCGACACATATAATCATTTTCCCTATTTTTAGGCTACAGCCCATTTCATATAAAAAAAATTGAAAGAAAAAATAGTTAGAAGTGACAGTTCAACTTATTGAATTTAACTCGTTGCATTTTTTTCCTTAAAGGTTTAGCGCAGATTTTGGACAAGAGAAAGATGTCCTCAAGTGGGTCATGAGTTACCTGGATGCAACTAGATCGGGGCTTTTGACCCATCTTTTGGCTGATGGAGGCCCTATTAACATTGTGTACCAGAATTATGATTGGTCTGGTAATTTGTGACCTTCCAATTTTTCAAGTCGTTGGCTGTTTCAGATAGAAATTTTGGGATGAAACCGTTGAAGCAAACGAGTTTCATTCATATCGTTACAAAGAATAGAGGAAGATGCAAATGACAGGGAAACTTTTGTATATAATACCTCAAGTTCAAAGGTTACATGAGGGATTAGTCTTCTGCCTTAGCAAAGGTATCATCAAAGACATTATAAAAATCTTGTCTCGTTTTTGCCTTGTATTTTTGGGTGAATTGCAACAATCATTAAAGTTGATTTGCACTAGAAGAAAAATCTGAGTCCTTGGCATGTTAGACTCTGATGTCCTTTTTTTTTTTTTTTTTTTTCCAATTGAGGAAGATATGTAACAATTTGAAAGATGAAATGATTAAAATGAAAGAATATGATCTGTCAACCATTGTCAGTCTATCATGTGTGCATAGGCATCATCACGAAAATCAAGTCATAGTTGCTAAACGAACAACAGCAATGTTCTTCCATTCTATTTTTCCTTCTCTAAAATGGAATAAAGGGGATTCAGAAGTCCTTACTAGTAAGAAAAACAACTATTTTTAAGCGAGGGTAAATGGAAGAAAGGAAATGGGGCGAGAAAACAATGAAGGAAAATGAAATCTTCATTTAATCACAATAAAACATTATATTCATGATCTATGGTAAATCCTAAAATTTAGGTATCTAACCTTTTTTTTTTCTATGTGTCAGCTTTGTGTTCAAAGTACTAGTAACTATAACAAGAAGTTAAGTTTTATATTTTATAATTTTTGAATTGGTTGTATGAAAAACCAAAAATAAAAATCATGTTATATTATAATTTTAAATTTTTTTGTATCACTCATTTTTATAAAAAATAATTTTTTTAATTACTTTTTTAATCATTATATTATTTTTTATTACTGACATCCGTATCTTTCATAATTTAATTTTAAAATCTTTAATCTTTCTTAAATTCAAAATTTTATTTTTTTTAATTAATGTAAAGATAAAATTATGTTTCACACGTCCAAATAATTTCAAATGATTCTCTTTTATTTTTTTTTTAATTTAGACTCCTAATCTTCTTCAAAATTTTTCATTTTTTATGTTATCTCTTTTATTCATCTAAAAATCCTTTTATCTCCGTTACACTCACTTTCTTCTAATATTGTCTGTTTGTGTCCAAAGTACTAGCAATTATTATTATTTCAACCATTGATAATCCATTGGAGAGCCTTACCGAAGGGCTCCCGCCGCATAGAGTATGCATTTATGATTAAATCCCTAGCCCTGTCAAATAAATGGGAGCCAGGTGTTTAATATAAAAATTTTTAATGGTGATAATATTTATGGGTTTTTATAATCTAAAAAAGGTAAGGGACATAGAAAAATAAATCCCAACCCATAGAATAGTTTATATTTTGTAACAATGTCTACCATCTGGACCCATGCTAATGTTAAAATGCAAAGCCCTAAAGCCCGATATAAACTAAAAGTTTTACGGAATTGGGAGGAGGGAAATGGAGAACGCCAATTCAGCCATCGGCCCTGACAGGTAGCTATAAATGCGGACGAACAGGCCGTGGGTCACATGACTACTTCCCCGACGCCCCCAAATCCTACCATCCCAATCCGAGAAAATCGAAACGGAGAGTATAAATATTATTTTTAATCATAAAATATATTTAAAAATAATAAAATGTTATTGTTTAATATTTCAATATATCTTTTTTAATTTTTTTTATTTTAAGGAAAATCCTATTACAAGAGAAAAAAAGAAAGACTTAATTCAAAACCAAGCTTTTATATCTTTTTAAAACTTGTATGTCTTTTTGTATATATTTTTTAATAATTTTCAATGTTACAAAACCTGACGACTCGATCAAGAGTTTCAAATGAGTAATCGTGTTCAGCCCGGCTTGACTTGTATATAATTAAAATTTAATTTGATTAGCACATAATTATTTTAAAAAATAATATTTAATAAATTTAAAATTTATTTGTAAAAAAAAAATTTGAACGTAACTTAATAAATATCGATTAGTCACTCATATGAATAATCCAAATCTTGACAAAAAAAAAAAGTTATATAAAGTTTAAGCACCACAATAGATTATTTTATTTATCATAAATTTTTTTTTAATTTAATAATAAATAAATTATTTAATCTCTTATATCAAAATAAAATATATCGTATTTGATAATTTAAGATAAATAATTACAGATTATATATTTAAAATAATTTAAATAAATAATCATCAATAAATTTTAAATTTAAAATTTTTTCGTTGAAAAAAATAAATTCGATTGAATCAATTATTTATTAATATAAATAATCAATTGTCGTTACTAGAAAAAGAATACTGTGTAACCAATTCTAAACGTTGGGAATTCTCGTCACTTATCCAACGTCTACTTTTTAACGAACGACCGTTAGAAAAAAGACCATTCCAAAAGAAAAAACAAAACAACGAAAGGAATATTAATATCCAAAATAAAAGTTCAAAGCCCTTACATCAAAAGTTTCACTATCATCTCATTTTCTGAACCTCTATCAATCTTTATTTTTGAAATATTTTTTATTTTTTCTTTTCAATTATAAACTTATTTTTCTTTTCGAATATTAAGAACCGTTGGATATTATATATTATGAAACAATTATTAATTTGTGTCTTAAAAATATTTATTAAAATTTTTTAAAATGCATTAATAATAGTAATTAATACATTTTAGAGATTTAGATACCTTCTCATAACCAAAATCTTACTATTTGTTGTAATAATTTTGTATTAAATATATTAATTGATAATTTTACCAATAATTTTTAATATATTAAATGAAAATATTATTATAAACAATAATAAAGGACACTCATTAATAAAATTTTTAATTTTGTACGTCAGGTAACATTGAATAATAAATATGGTCAATTTTAATAATTTTCATTTAGCAGGCTGAAATTTAATGGTGTTCTATAAATATTCAACAAAAACACCACGATTCCTTAAAAGGAAATTAAAAAAAAAAAAGCATCTCGAGAAATCTCAAATTTAATGTAATTTAAAGGTGGCCTATCACTTAAAAATTTGTTTCTTCTACATTTATTGGTGATATTTTTTGAAATTTTATAAATATGAGGATAAATAGATTATTTAATTTTTTAAGTCAAAGTAAAATATATCATATATGATAATTTAAAATAGATTATTATAAATTGTACATTCGAGATGCTTCTAACAAGTGACGATCGACAAGATTCGAACTCAAAAATTTTTTAATTAAATAAAACAAATACAATTAATTAAATCGATCATTTGTAAATATTTATCGATGATATCATTCTTTATTTTTTATCACTTCAAATTTTAATTAGAAAACAATACTTATTATTTTAAATTTACAAACAGCTCCTTTCTAGTGTTACCTACTTTCTATTTTACTTTATTATTTTATAACCTTTTTTGTGTAAGAAATTATCACACATTGATTTTTTCAAAATTCTAATGTGAAAAACTCCAAAATTGAAGTCCCTTTTTCTTTATAAAATTAGTATGAATATTAATTGAAAAAGAATAGTAATTTCAAGTTTATCATACTTGAATTTGAAATGTAATTAAATTAGTTCATATAAATACTATTTAAAAGTAATATTTAATAAATTTAAAATTAAAATTTTAATATCTATAATTTATTTTTTTTATTTTTAAGCTATAACTTCATTTGTAAAAAAAAAAAATAATGATACTCAATGGCATGATATGAAAATAATAATAATAATAATTTTTTATTTAATATTTAAATTTATCAAAAATTAATCCATAATCATTAAAATTAAAATATAAAAATTTAATATTATACCTATAAATCAAACAAAGACATATAACAACCCATTCTCGTGTCCTTATTAAATACTATATATAAATGTAACAATATTATTTCGTTGATAAAATCAACCATAATTAATCTGCCCTTAGTCTTGATGAAGCAATGAACTAAGGGGGAGCTCCGACCTCTAGAACTAGATTTCCGGCAAACTAGTCGGGATTGTCGTGTGTCGAAAAACGACCGAAAACTAAATCTTGACTTGAAATAAACGTGACAGCTGGTGCCTAATTATCCCCCTTAACGTGAACTCAACTACAATCGAAACACTGAAATACCCGTTTTGCCACGTGTATTCCATTTTTATAATTACAAGTGTCAGGTAAGTAAAACATCAACTGCTTTCCTTTGCTTTCTAGTCCTTCACCCATTTCCTGAGACTGATCAGAAACACAGTCTCTCTCTTGAATTATTTTTCGCATTCAACACAGGTAGATCTACCGTTGAACTTCTTGGGTTTTAATAGCTGTTTTTGTTTTTCTGAATAGTCGGCTCCAAACCCTTCTTAAAAAAAAAAAATTTGCATTTTGATCTGACAAAGAATGGAGTTTTTACTGTTTTGATGGTCTCTGGCATCTGGTAGATTTCTTTTTTATTTTTGGTTGCTTCAGTCATTTATTTGAGGATTTTCAAGTTCTGGGTCTTTGCTCGTTTTAGCAGAGTGATGCAGCAAAGGAGTGGGTGAGAGAAAAATCCCAGCTTTTTCATGTTAAAAGCTTCAGAATTTAAGGGTCAAAAAGGGCTTTTGATTGATTATATGTATCAGTCAACCAGCGAAGGAGTTGGAGAGCAGTATTGGATCCCATGACTCTCAAGTTTCAAAACTGCTAAACGCCGTTTGAGCAGTCCAAGAAGAAGCAAGAGGGAAAATAATTTAGAAAGTTGGATTGTTTTTAACCTTATTTTTTAGCTACTGCAGTTTCAGGAATATAGAAATCATAGAAAGGAGAAAAGCAAGTTACTAAATTTTATTTTTTTTCTGGTCTGCAAGTTCTGAGATGAGTTCACGTGAAGATTACGCCGCGTTGTCCGTGAGTATTGCAAGTAACAAGCTCGAGAAGAGATGCCTCAGCATTTGGTGTATTTGACAAAGACTACTTCACCAATGCAAATGCAGCTCCTTCTCCTCCTCCTTCACACCATTAAATGCCATGGCTCTATCCAGGGCTTTTCAAAGTCACTTCAGTGAGTAGATAAGCTTCCTCCATTGCTGCTTGTTTCACTTCAGAATTGTTCAGTCAAAAAAAGAGGGCGCTAGCGCTACTTGCATTGTTGAAAATGACCCAAATTGGCGCGTTTCTTCTTATACTCAATAACTCCCATGCTTTAGTTTTACAATTTCTTGTGCGTGGAAAGAATGGCAGATTCGAAGATTTGGATTTTGGGCTGTGATTTGAGTAGGAGAATCAAAACAGAGTCAGCTTGCTGGAAGGTTGAAACAGCAAATGTCTCTCCATATGGAAACCAATTCAAATCAAAAGGGTTGCATTGTTTAAGGGTGTTGATTTGAAAGATCCCATTTTTTTTTTCTCTCTACCCCAGAAACAAAGAGTATTTTCGAAGATCATAGGCTGAAAATGGAACCCCTTGTTTCAAGGTACTGCTTTCTTTTCTTTTTCATCTTCTGCTCTCTCCTTTCTCTTGTTCCTCTTGTCAGATCAGGGGATGCAGAAGCGCTTTTAACCCTGAAATCATCAATCGATCCTTTCAACTCATTGCCGTGGCAAGGAACCGATGTGTGTGCGTGGAGGGGAATCAAGGAATGTATGAATGGAAGAGTAACAAAACTTGTACTAGAGTACCTAAACTTGACTGGTACTTTAGATGAAGCAAGCTTGAATCGGTTAGATCAACTTCGGGTTTTAAGTTTCAAAGGAAACTCACTTTCAGGTCAAATACCTTACCTTTCTCGCCTAGTCAATCTCAAATCACTTTTCCTCAACGACAACAAATTCACAGGCGAATTCCCAGAATCAATTTCTGGTTTACATCGCTTGAAAATCATAGTTTTGTCAGGAAACCAACTCTCTGGTCACATTCCACCTTCTTTACCCAAACTCAAACACTTATACACTCTTTACTTACAAGACAATAACTTAAAGGGTACAATCCCACCCTTGAACCAAACAAGCCTTAGATTCTTCAATGTGTCTAATAACCAACTTTATGGTCAAATCCCTGTGACCCCAGCTCTGGGTCGGTTCAATATTTCTTCATATTCCGGTAATATTGATCTTTGCGGTGAACAGATTGAAAACCCATGTCAAACAATCAATTTTGGGCCAGCAATGAGTCCTGCTTATCCCATGGTCCCAAGTTCAAGGTCCTCATCAAAAAAGCGTATTCTCAAGATTGTAGTAGGCAGCGTTGGTGGGTTTTTGCTGCTACTTATTTGTGTGTTTTTGGTGTGTTTTGTTAGCAAAAGGAGACGTGAAAAGGATAGGTCAAAGGAGGTTAAAAGCAAAGGAGTTGTTAGCGTGGAAGGGGTGGAGGTAGGGGAGGCGTTGGGCGGAGGAGGAGGAGGAGGAGGAGGAGCAGGAAGCGGTGGCACGGGAGATAATAATAGCGGAAAACAAGCAGGGTTTTGGGAGAACGAGGGTCTAGGGAGTTTGGTATTCTTAGGAGCAGGTGATCAGCAGATGAGTTACAGCTTGGAAGATTTATTAAAAGCATCAGCTGAGACGTTGGGGAGAGGTACAATGGGGAGTACCTACAAAGCTGTGATGGAATCAGGATTCATCGTGACAGTTAAAAGATTGAAAGATGCTAGATATCCAAGATTAGAGGAGTTCAAGAGACACATGGACTTGCTTGGTCGGCTCAGACACCCTAACTTGGTCCCACTTAGAGCTTATTTCCAAGCCAAAGATGAACGCTTACTCGTATATGATTATTTCCCCAATGGAAGCCTCTTTTCTCTTATTCACGGTATGTCGGTGACTCTCACTTTCAATTCCATTCATTTCTGTTTTCTCGTGTTTTTTTGGTCGAGTAGTCATTTGTTTCCTAATGCTTTCCCTAATCAGTTTTAGGACAAAAACCTATCTAACCCACTCACATGTAAACCTTAAACAATGGTTTATATATATATATATATATATATATATATGAAAGATAGTAAGCACTCAGATTTGATTTGGGTCTGTATTGTTTTTATTAGTCTTTAAAGTCTAAAAGTTTTTAAGTTATTTTCTTTTTTTGAACCTTTGACCTGGGAAAGATAACAGTAAATGAAAGTCAAACAGTTAAAAGTGTGGTTTTAGGACATAATATGTAACGATGAGTGTTTTGTTGTCACTTAATTAACTCTAACATAATTAACCTTAGCATGTTGGATGTCTCCTCAAGCTCATATATTTAGTTGAAAGCATAAAGAAAGCTTACTTTTTTTTATTATTTGAGTGAGTTTGAATTTGTTTAGAAGATGTGGAAAGGTCATTTTCGATAAATTCATTAAGCTCGTAGATAAATTTATTTGAATTAATTCGAAAAAATATATTAGATAAAACTCGAATTCCATAAAAAACCATTAAGAAAGCTTACCTAGTATTGGGTATTATTTGGTTTAAGCACGGGGGAGACTGGGACCAAAACATAAAGCTTTCATTAGATGTCACATGAATGAGAAAGACATAATAATATTTGCAGGCAGCAGACTCTTTTCTTTTTTCATCATTTCGTGGCTAAGCTAAAGACAGGTGAGAATTCATTTTATTTAAACAGTTTTGCCATAATAATTTCTTTGTTTTTCTTCATAAAAAGTTGTACTATTAATAAAGTTGAGCATGCAACTACTTGGATGAGCCAAGTAGGGCCCTTGGGAGATCTCATCCATAAAAAAATGGTGGATAGAATCTTAATGTTTCGACTGTATTTTTTGAACCACACCTGCAAAAGTATACAGAAAACATTTTCCATCGCTGTCTTGATCTGAAAAAGTGAGAAACTGAAACCCCTCACCTCATTACAACTGTATTGTTGTAGTAGTACAATCTTACAGGTAGATGCTCCTCTGGAACTGTCCTTTGTTGTAGCGATGTGTGTTTCCTGCAAAACCCCATGTTTTTTCTTTGACTCTCTGCGGCCTACGACCAAGACCCACCTTTGATTTACCTGCTTCTTTGTTTCTATTATTTTGGGTTGGTTTTCTCTTTTTAGAAAAATCTTAATTTATTTTAAAAAATATTTTTTATTCGAAAAATGGGATTTCAGTTCTGTTTTTTAATCGAAAATCAATTATTGAATGACTGTTGGGATGGAATTTATGAAAAAAAAACATTAATCTTAATGTATGATGAGTTTTTTTTTATTATTATAATTCAAATCATCAGTATTTTTTTGAACACAGAGAAAAATACCTTGAGAATTGGTCTTAAAAGTTGATAATTTTTTTTTCTTCATTTCTCAATCAATCATACTCTTAAAGATTTAGGTAAACAACGACAACTCATGGTTGGGTTTTTTTCTTTCTTCAATAATAAGCTGTGGTGAGTCTCGAGAAGGGCGCATTGCTTTTTTGGGACAACTCATTGTGAATTGTTAGTGAGACCCCAGCATGTTATTGTTGTCAGCTGCCCCCACTCTCTGAATTCTCAATTAAGTCTTAGTTTTTAGTAGTGATATCAATGTTTCTCTTTCCCCCCCTTTTTTTTTTTTTGTTGTTGCTTGTCATAATTTTGTTAGTACATTTGGTTGTTATATTATTGGGTTTCTTGTTTGAAATTCTAATTTAATCCCACAGATATTGTCATGTTAGTTATGAGCTTTTATTGCTTTCACTTCACTCAACTAGTAGATTAGAATAATTATATGCTCCTAATTTTAGTACAATAGAGATTATGGTTTAAAAGAAATTAAAAAATAGAATTTGTAAATGGAAGAGATCCAATCCATCTTTACTAAAATTTAGTTTTTAAAAAGTAAATGAATCATTTGAATTAAATTTTAAGTTGAATTGGATTACTGTGTCATTAATAATGTATCAAAATTTTGTTGTTGCTAATAGTTCAATTGAAAATGCACATGAAGCCTAAGGTTAAAGTGCCTAACTGGAGATGTGTTGCTATATGTCAAAACGAATATTATAAATCTAATGCAAAAATGCATAAAAAAAAGTTGGGGGCATTCATTGCAATTTACCATATTCTTCTTAGGTCAAGGCTAAGAAAATGGAAGTTACTGCAATACTAATAGCTAGTACCCTCTAAACCTCTTTATGTTCCAGAGGTGTTAAACTTTTTGGATTGCCTTGTAGGAACAAGAACTTCTGGTGGTGGAGCTGGGAAGCCTCTTCATTGGACATCATGTCTGAAAATAGCTGAGGACTTGGCAACTGGACTGCTTTATATTCATCAAAATCCAGGCTTAACTCATGGAAACCTGAAATCCTCTAATGTGTTATTAGGGCCTGACTTTGAGTCCTGCCTCACAGATTATGGTCTCACTTTGTTTCGAGATCCAGACTCAGTGGAAGAACCTAGTGCTGCAACATTTTTCTACAGGGCACCTGAATGCAGGGACATCAGAAAATCATCCACCCAACCAGCTGATGTTTACAGCTTTGGTGTTCTACTCCTGGAGCTTCTAACAGGCAAAACACCCTTCCAAGACCTTGTTCAGGAGCACGGTTCAGACATTCCTAGGTGGGTACGATCAGTCCGTGAAGAAGAGACCGAGTCTGGGGATGAGCCTACCTCTGGTAACGAGGCATCTGAAGGCAAGCTTCAGGCTCTTTTGAACATTGCAATGGCTTGTGTTGCACTTGCACCTGAAAACCGTCCTGCAATGAGGGAAGTTTTAAAGATGATTAAAGATGTGAGGGCGGAGGCTCAAGTATCATCCAACAGTAGTGACCATTCGCCTGGAAGATGGTCGGACACTGTTCAGAGCTTCCCTAGAAATGAACATCTAAGCATATAAGCCTGATAGATTTGGCAGGCATTCAATTCAAGTCTTGTAATTCTTTTCCCAATGAAGCTTTCATTCTTCCACTAGCTATATTGTAGAGTTGTCTTGTAAAGGTTTTCCCTCCTTTCTTTTAGCACTTGTAGAAGGCTGAGTGACTTTGACGGTGGGAATGGGTTGGTTTAATGGGTTTTAGTTCAATTTGAATGTGCTGAACTGAATCCACATTTGGGTTTGCTGCAGTGTAATCTGCCCCCTTCATAATCTGAATTCAGAAGCATCCTTTAAACTCAGGCTTTGGATCTCTCTATCTTCAAAATTTGCCTACAACTTCTGTATCTATACCTTGAAATCTTGGAGTTGAATTCCCAAACCGACTCACATTTTATCCAAGTCAGGTTGTAGAAGGAAATAAAATGAAAACTACCGGTTAACGAATCCTAACTCAGTGAAATTGACCTGATCAAGCATTTGAATTGGCCTAATACTGAAACAAGAAGTTAACATACTACAAGCAGTTATAAATCAAGCACCAAATAAGGATCCACTCCAAGGTGTAGCAAGTCATAAATTATACACCTGAAGCTTCAATATTTTAATTCAGCTGAATCTGTTAAGAGATTTTTTTCCCTCCCTGGAGCCAGGAGATGATGAGCAGTCTGCAATCTTATTATCTGGTGCTTGAGGTAAACATTTCAGGTTCCAAAAATGGGATCTCTACACTTTTTCCATTGTGGCACCCAATGTGTGATGAGTATTTGTGTACACGAGGAAGAAGAGCATCCTACCAGCTTCTTATGCATTTACAGTAGAAAAATTTTTGTAATTACACAGACCAGATATATTCAACCTCAATCTTAACAATTCCCTATCAGCACCTTGGTTCCTGCTTGAGATGGATTCTGTTTGGTGAGCCAAAAATCATTGACTGGATACACAAGGAAAAACAAAACAAGGTAAAACAAGTGTACACAAGTATGCTTCATACCCAAAAAAAAAAAAAAATCATAGTAATTGAGTGGATCAATAAATAATCATCGCTCATTTGCTCAAACATTTGCAGGCCACCTATTGCCTGGTGGGGCAACTAGTTTCTTGCCATTAAATCTACATTAGCTGATAGTATGAGTGACAGTAAGGAGGGTTGACCTCAAGGTATAGAATTCAATCCCTCCCCCCACCCACTCCATCTTTGTCCAAATGTACCATGAGCAACAGAATTCTATAATACAGTTAAGTACTCTCTTTTTGTGACATAACCCTACACTAAAATGACTGGATGCCAGCTAGTCATCAACAAGCAGTCAAGCTGCTTGTTGTTCTGCAATGAAATTCAAAATCTAAATGTACTTGATGAAGCTGAATAACATGAACAAAATGCAAGACCTGAGAGGGGTGGATATAAAGGTATGATTATGTAAAACATGTGAAAATAATTGGACCAACAAAACAAACTATGAAATTGTTTTGGTATGAAGACACTACTGCAATGATGGGGAATGACAAGTAAAAGAAGTTTGTATTGCCAACTGACATGCTAGCCAACAATTAGAAGTTATTGGAAATGCAAATGTAACATTAAGATAGCATGAATGAGATGAGGGTTTGACCAACCAGCTACAAAACATCTTAGTACGAAGACTTGACAGAACAAGGAATTTGCCAGGGAAATGAGGTATGCAGCACTTGAAGCACAATAATATAAAAGACAGGACAAGGATTGACCAGCTAGCCGTGAAACAGTTTGGTAGGAAGACCATACCAAAATGGTGTTCATGCCAAGAAATGAAGTTCAAAGTGCCAACAAACAAGCTAATGCACAATTGAATGCAACACAGAATTAAACATTAAACAGTATTGATAGGAAGGACCAGATTGCATGACAGTTGGGTAAGACATCCATAAATCATGCCACAATGTTAGATGACTAGTCAACCAAATATGAATTCTTATCCTTTTACTTTTGACAATAGCCATAAAATATCAAATCTCAATTCAAAATCTTTTTTTTGTTTTTTGGCCACAATCTCAATTCAAAATCTAGATTACATCAAATTGAGATAAAAATAAGGTAGAGGGTGTTTGAGTTAAATCTTGGATTTGAAAGAGATTAGAAAATTACTTAGAGAGAGAAAGATACCTGTAAACGTGAAACAATAGAAAGAATAAGGAAAAAAAAAGGCAATTAGGATGACAGATCCTCACTAGATAAGATCAGGGAGTTCATATATTGATCCGAACAGGTAAGATAAAGTTTGAGATGTTTTATAAGCGAATGTGCAGCACAATTTGATATAAAATATAATATGAGAACATTCAGATCAACCTGTAAGTTACACTCTCAACCAGTATAAAATAGGCTTTGAATGAAACCTTAATTAGATAAAATTAAAGACAGATCCCATAAAGTGAATAAATTCTTTAGCTTATGGCGGTTTATATGATCCCATCTTTCTGCCATCAACCCAGCACATGAAACTGAATCAATTTAAATGACAACCTACCTGAGTTGCACTAGGCAACACATTAGATGCACCAGGCAAGATACTATTAGCTAAATCCTCATTAACAGATACAGGCAATGGCGGCATCTGGCTCATTAAACCTGGCATACCTCTCATGCTGCAAAAAGTCACTGTAGAAATTAAAAACTTGATGCATAGGCAACAAGAAAGCTGAGAATAACCAAAATGCTTGCCAGAGGGCATTAATCACCGATTCATAATTATAAAGAACATCCACGTACTCATTTAGGATGGTGGTAATATTGTTCCTTGCGTGACAAAAGAGATCAATGTTATCCTGTAACTGTTCATAAAAGCTTTACTTAATAAGCCAGCTTAAGAAGACTGTTAACAACGATCATATACGATACGAGGCAATCACATACAAGATTTACATGAGCACATTAAAAGGAACATGAATAGATTGAACCCATGACCTCCTTTGAAAAACAAGAGGTCCACTTGACAACAAAAGAAAGTGCCCGGTTGTAGATGCAGAATTACATTTTTTTATTTCTTGTCAAATAGGACATATACCAATAGAAGTGCAGGAGCATGGAACAATAAAAATACTACTACAAGCATATGGGCCTGATTGTTGCTATGTTCTATATCCTAATGATGAACTGGATTGGTTGGAATCACAGTTATCTCATATGCCACCTTATATCAGTTTGCAAATGAAGCTAAAAGTTTTGGACATAGATGATAGATCCGAAATTTTGCTTTTTCATAGTTTCATCAGTGATACAAAATTTTCCAATCCACTCTAATGACATCAACATTAACCAATTAAAGGAATCGTTACCACCTTATTTAACCTCTTGAACTTTATAGCAAAAACTAGCATAAATTGCAGATTAACCATTAAATGTCGCACAAACAATAAGATATGGTATTCATCTCATCTTAAACCTATTATTTACCGTACAATTGCATATTGACAACAACAGAATTTCTGTGAAATAAGGATTGATACGCCACCTTGTATGCAGAAAGATTGGAAGTGATCTGACTAAAAGCTTGAGCATTTTGCTTCAATAGATGCATAGTTGTACCACTTATTCCTGAAAACACACAACAAACAAGTAGATTTACATCAAACAATACCTTTAAACGCAAGCTAGTAGACAAGGAATTCACATTCTTCAAAATCCAACTACAACCATTTATAGCACAAGCAGGCATGGTGTCAAAAGCTCAATTCAGAATAAATTTACTTTAAAGATGCAAAACCTAAAAACCATCAATGGCATGACTTGTGATACCTTCCCCGATTTCCTTTTTTAAAATTACTTGATGTTTCAATATTATAAAGAGATGATGCGCACAGCAAGTCGGGTTGCTGTCTACAAAATTTTGCGTATATGAAGGTTCAGAGTTTGATGACCGACAGTTAAATACCTTAGGAATCAAGGTCCCTAAAAGAACAAGTCTCATAACTTATTCTTATCCAATTATCAATAAAATTCAAATACGTTTACATTTTCAGCTGTTATGTGGCAAAGTTTGGAATACTCAACCATCTTAATAGATGTATATATGTAAAGTTCAGTTGTGAATCAACTCTTTTGCTTTATTTTTAAATGCCACAGCGGTTAAGATTGCCGTTATTTTGCAGATATTCACTCAGTTTGTGTTCAGCTACTTGACTGATGCAAGTTGCTAGATCCATTCTTTGATCTCATTAAAAAAAAAGATCTGTCTCTGTAGTAGATTATAACTGTTGCATTGCTGTTAGATTTCAAGCCTATCCTCTTGAAGTTGTTTTACTTTGTGTTGTGAACTATAATGTGTTTAAAGTCACCCTTCCAACAAGTTCTAAGCTCACTGATCCTGCTTACTATACTAACTTTATAATAATAGATTTAATATCACAGAAGTAAAAAAGGATGAATACAAGTATTGACACTATGCTACAATAAGATTAATTATTACTTTCAACCATGACCTTTTCCGACAAGACTTCCTTTCATCAAATTTTATTATTTGTTGAGTTTTTTGATTTACTCAATTTGGTTTAACTTTTAATGTCTAATAATCAACTTAGTTGACATCTAGTCCCACATTTACTGATGGGGTAAAATAACTGAAAGTTTTGCCCCAGTAAAACTTGTGGGCACATATGCTTGTAACAGTCCAAAACTATGTTAGTTGCCAGCTGTTTCAGAAGTTTACAAACCAATCACATAATTCAGCAACAATTTGATAGTTAATGTCCATCAGTTCTCCATTCCTAATTCATTATTAACCGTAATCCACTTTATACTACAACTCAAAGCCCCCAAAACCTAATTTCTTAAACCCAAATACATCATAAACATCATTTTGGAAGATCACCAAAAAGTTTGTCCTACATTACTTGAGATAATAAAAATGGGAAATGTGGACAAATACTGATAGAAAGATATTAATTAAAAGCAATTACAACAGAAAGAATATATTGATACTTCTAGGTGGTAATATAAAATACAAACCTTCAGAAGGCATTCGTTCATTCTGGTCCAGATGGTGCATCATGAGAGGATATGCAGCCATGTTTTGCTGCAGAGCTGAAGGCATATTCATCTTTGAAGATGATTCCACCAGCTTATCCTGAAGAAGTATGATCTTTAGAATACTGGTTCTTCAATCACATTACATCCTAAAGACATTTGTTGATTCAGGAAATTAAAACAGGAATCCCAGTTATAGCATTCAACTTAGCAAATTGAGATACATTGAATTTACTTAATGTTAATTTTTTTTAATCATAATCAGCAGTTTTGTTTGTAATTTGACTTGAAAGAAAAAATGCAATCCAGAAAAGCTATAATTCCTTCCAACAAAAAGTATAAAAGCCCCACAGCCAGAGGTGTGAGAGAATCAGTGTGCTCACTGAATTAGTGAACAAGCTTGGATAGAGATTCATCTGTGTAAACATATTAAGTTAGTAAACCAGTTTGAAAATGATTTTTTAGCTTTGTAAATAAATGAGTGAAAGGTTGAACAAAGCTACATTAACTCATTTAAATTCGTGATTGCAGAACTGAAAATAACTTCAGCATTTACAGAATGTTTTAAGGATCTGTTTAACCTAACAATGTATTACAAAATTTTGCATTCTTACACTTGTGAAATCTAATGTCTTTGACAAATATGCTGCAACAAGGCATGAAGTATTTATAACAATGAATATATTCTTAAGTAAGTGAAGATTTTATAGTAGTTTCTTGTGCAAATCCCAAAAAGAGTAGGGACTAGGGAGGGTTAATACTATAAAATAACCACCAAGTGCAGCAGTTAGTAACCACTATTTCTGGACCAGTAAATATTGGGCCACTTGTCCATAATGTCCAGTTCTGTCCACTAGAAAATGAGATGGGTTTCACAGAAACTAGGATTGCATCACTGAGCAAAGTAAATATTAGGGCCCAGGCAGCAGTACACGCACACCATTCTATGCCCAACAAATACAACAAAGTCAGGGTTGCTACTTGCTAGCTCAGCAAGCTTATTCTGTCCGATATCAGAGAGAGAAACACAAGATTGGCAAAACATGATCGATTCAAATCTGAGCAGGAAAAACTCAGCTCATTTATACTCCATTTAACTATAATCATATAGTTAAATGGGCCATAATAACAACTATCTGTTCTGTTTATTGATGTTTGTCTATTTTTCCATTACAGATATCTGAAAATATCTGCTCATCTTAAAAAGTAGGTAATACTAGTTATCAATTTCCCAAGTTAACTCCTTTCCTTTTTATTGTCAATTTCTATTATGGTAGTTGGTGGATTGAAGTACTTGACATGTACTGAATGCATATTGTTTTGAAAAGGTTAATGTGAACAAAGATTGAGGAATTAAGGAGCCTTTTTCTTCTTTTCAATTAAAAAGGGTAGCTTCTTTTTTTTTTCCCCTTCAGTTTTAGGTATCATATTTGAAGTCTTTTTCCAATATGATATATTTTTCTTTACTATGCTTCAATCCTGGCCTATAACCAAACTTAGTTTCATTTTTTAATCTTATAAAAGGACTGTTCAAACATTCATCAAATATCAATCAAACTTCAACCTAAACAGAACCCTAAACCCTTCAACCAAAGAACTTAGCAAAAAGGCAGTTCCCTGCACCCTAAACAGAACCCCTATCTATACTCCTTCATCCCCACCTCCACCCTCTGATTTCTCCATGAGAAAATTTGAAATTTTACAAATTGGGATTTACATAAACATGTACACTTTGAAAAAACGAAAGAAAAAAAATCATGGTTCCTTTGCCAAATTCAAGCCTTAAATTTTATGCTCAATTATCCAAATTCAAACCCTTCATTCCTATATTCATCTTACCTTTCAAAAACAAATTTAACCAGTAATAACATTTTAAAAAGAGTCCTCCTTGTGCTGTTGAACATCAATATTTTGTCAACATGCCATGACTGGGGAAGTAATAGTTGTTAAACATATGGACAATCATATGCATTAGTAAGTCCAAAATTATAACTTGTCTCTATGATAATCCCAATTAGCTTGTATCATAAAGACCAAGACATAAATAGCAGAGCAGGATATGTATCACAAAACCAAAAACTTCACAATGGAAAAAGTGATTGGTATTGTTGTACTGATGATAAAACACATTTTATCCAAAGTAAATCTGCAATCTCACTCATGAAGCATATAATTCTATGTGCTTCTTCTCAAGAAATTTAACTAACATGTTTAAAATCATTTATGGGAAAAAGGAAATAAGAAATCAATATTAAGTGTTGCACAAAATTACAAAAATTCATCAGCATACCTTCCTATTGTTCACCTTTTTTCCCACATTAAATTCCTCAGGTTTCCTTCGCTTTCTCTGCCATTTCCAAAAAATACCTTTGTCTCTTACAAATGCGCGGAGAATTTTAAATACGTATCTAATAAATAAAAAGAATATAAGAACATGAACAGATTGATTGAGTTTCACTTGCTCCAGTCAATGTCAATGGTAACCAATGTTTCTTGACAGCATAATCTATAGTCAAAGCCACAACAAAACAATGGGCAGCTAGCAGCCTCTTCAAAATGGGAGGACGCAGCAGATGCCAGTAGCTTTTTGCTATTATTTTAATGGGGGCAAAAGCTATATATTAATTACCAACTCACTTGCTTAATAAACCATTTTGGCCTAATTGGAGATTGACCAAAAAAGAATAAAGAATTGACATTTAGTACTGTAACTTTAAAGAGAGAATTAAATATTATCAAGTCTAATGTGCAAAGCATCACCAAATACGACAAATTCTAATGCATTAAGAATAAGCAGAATCAGTTATCAGTTAAGCAGATGCATTTTGGTCCAACTTCTCTTTAGTACTTGACTATCAAGCACATGGTTCATTATTGGATATTTGACCGGCATGTCAAAACTGATAATTTTGCACACCACTTTAACAAGACATTAAAAATCAGTACAAATGATGCTAGAAATGCATCATTAAAGAAGCAAGGAGCTTACTTGCATCCACCTACACCTCAATGCAACATCACGTACAGTTTTATCAGGCAAGGTAGCCGCAATCTTTATGTACTTCATAATATTTGGTTCCTCTTTATACCTATAAACATGAAAATGAAAATCAGAACTTAATCTTCATTTCAAAAACAAGATATACCTAATAAGTACCTCCCTTAAAAAGTTCTATATCATAAAAAGCATAAGCGAAAAAACACAACAATTCTAGCAACATAATTAGGGAATCTATTACTTAAAATTAACTATGATCAATTCGATACATTCCTTATATTATTAGTGGAAAATTACAAGACTTGCATATACAGTAAGAAACCAAATACATCTCCAAGAAGCAAGAGGAATTAATTGGTACATACTTTTCAAGGCCATCCTCCAATATGTACTGTTCATCAACAGACCATTCGACAGCCAATCCTGTATCCTGCTTGAGCCCTGCAACCGAGTCAAGAAGGAGGGAAGATCCAGAAGAGTTTCCAGGTTGGATTAAGGCAGGGGAGGTGGTAATAATACTGGAATTCCCAGGAAAAATCATGGGCGGAGGTGCAAAGTAACCACCCATCGGAATCATCTCGGAACTACTGTCAATAGCAGCTGATTGGAAAGATATAGCGTGCCGATTCATAATAGAAGCTAAACTATCTTCATGATGAAACTCAGTGTTCGATTCTGTTGTCATTTTTTTTTTCACTGAAAAATCCACTTTACCAATAAAAAAACTAAATTGAAATGTGAAAAACTAACTTACTTTCCCCTCATCACCTTAAACTGACTACTTCCATATAATTTTTTTTTGTTCATTTCAGCTCATCAAAACCTACAGTTGCATATAAAGGACAAACACACGAAAAAAATCATATAAAAAATTAGCTCCCAAATCGAATTTAGAAACAAAAGATCCTACCAAATTGAACTGAATAAAAAAATCTCAAATGGAAAAACGACACAAGAAAAAAAATGAAGAGAGACGGAATTTACCTGGCAACTTTCCCACCAAGCCCTAATTGATTATGCCTTTTTCTCTCTCACTAAAAACTAAAATTGGCTACTGCTACTACTGCGGTTTTACTGCTTTTTTTTTTTTTGCTTATTATTTTTTTTAGTTTTTTTGGACGTGAGTTTCTTTGCTTTTCTTTACTCCCTCCATTTTTTTTTCTGGAGAGACGAACCGTAAATTAAAAAAAATGTTGTTTTTTTTTTTTGTTAGTGAAATCTATTATTATTACAATATAAATATATGTACAATTGATGTTTGCAGATCTTGGAATTCAGCAACAGTGCGAATCCCCATAAGCATTTGATGCCAATTATTGTGGCCTCTCCACCTTTCCTTTTTTGCTTACTTTTTTATTCCTTTGAAATTTTTATACGTTGTCTTCTTTTAACTGGCTTTTCTCTCTCCATCCTTTTTTTTTTTCTTTTTTCACCAGATTTTCCATGGAAAAATCATGGCATCCTCAATTTGCAATTTTGCATGCCAGCACATATTTTATAATTCATTCTTGGCGAAGCTTTTTAAAATTAAATTAAATACAATACAACTTGATTTGATTTCAAATTCTTAATTTATTCGTTCAAAATTTTATTTTCTTTAAATTAAATTAATTTTAGAAAATATAAAATATAATATAAAACTTTTTGTTGCATAGTTTAAAATTAAATAGTCGTTGTAAACAAACATGTCTTTTATTCATTGAATTTTGATACTTAATAAACATTATATATATATATATAATAACAAGTTGCATTGCCAAATTTTGGAAATTGACAAATAAAAAAAAAGAGAGAGAGAGAGAATGTGATTCCAAACATTTTTAATTGAAAAATACATATAATTATCTTGAGATAAAGATGAACCTGCTAATTAAATTAGCAGTTTAATTTAATACATTTATATAATTATTTTTAAAAAATAACGTTTAATAAATTTTAAATTTAAATATAACATATATAATTTTTTATTTTTAAATTGTAATATTTTTCATAAAAATTTAAATTTGTTAAGTGACACCCGTGAAGTGTTTTGTAGCATTTGTTGAAGAAAGATGCATTTTGAACATTCATTAGCAAGTTAATGTTTTCAATAAGCAATTTGAAAAACGAGATACCAATAAAAAATTAGTTTAGTTTGGAAGGGATGAGTTATTTTTCTTGTGATTTGATCATTACGATTTGTGGGGCGGAAATACAAATTTGAATTTATGATATGGAGATTAATATGGGTTTATATAGAATGGGCTGAAACAGTTGGGCTAATATGTCAAATGTGAGCCATGAAATCCAATGGTAATTAAAAGATATAACCATCTGAAATCATGGGTGAAGTAGATTTCAATCAAAGGCCCAAAATCCATGCCGTTTTTCTCTGTTATACAAACCAAGAACCAAAAACAAAGTTACAGAAAAGCTAAGTAGAAAATGCCAAAACTGAAACAAAGACAAATTTCAAGAAGTTAAAGCAACATGGAATCAGAAAGCATTGTTATTTTTTCTCTGAGAAGATTAAAGTATTAATATAAGGTCAAACATCCCTTCGGCTTGATTTGATTATTATTAATTAATTAATAAAAAATATAAATTGATAAGGTTTTTCAGGTTTTCATGAGCATCTGATACTCTCCTAATAATAATATGCCACCAAATTGGTTGTTTGACACAAATTTAATAAAGTAGAAAATCCTCAATTAGTTAATTCTAATAATCGTATAATCGACATGTTTTGGCTGTGTCTTCGGGCGGCATAACCTTTTTTTTTTTTAATTTACTTTAAAAAAAAAAATTAGGAGCCACTTTTTGTGTCTCACTGAACCAAATGTTCACGAAATAATTTTGTTAAATCATTGTCTAAACTTAATAAGTCTTGTTGGGCGGCAGCTTCATTTCTCTATCAAATCATATGTTTTTCAAACGAGCACGTGCATGCATCCTGCCTTTTTCTTTCTTTTCCCCATTTTGTTTTGGGTTTAGGGTTATGGTGCTCAAGTCAGAGCAATAGTAATGAACATTTGAGGGAAAAAATGGAGTGATTTAGACATGATTTTGGTTTGAGTAAAAGACATGAACTCATGGAATGGAAAGATGTGTGTGAGTGCTATGTTTTTCTTTCTATAGAAACACTTTGTCGGTTGGAGGTTTTTGTTTTGAGAAATTATTTAGAATCCTGAAATGTTAATCAAATTTTGAAGATGAAAATAATCAGAAAAAGTATTCTAAAACAAGAAAGAACAAAGAAACATTACATTTTCTCATCATTCATGCTTGTTCTTTCCTGTTTTGCTTCATTGATCTCCAGGAAGGTTGAAACATCCAATATTTTTTCTTGTCTCAGTTTGTATTCTGACAATATTAATTTCTCAGAAGTAGAGAACAGCCACATGGAAGTATACAGGTTCTTAATTGCAACTTGCTGAAGAACCTATAGATTCTTGTGCTGCAAGAATTGATCAGAGAAACAAAGGAGAATAAAAAGTTTTAGGCCAACCAATTAAAGGTGTTCAATTTTTCTTGGTGATACCGATAACGTCGATTCTTGTTTGAAGAATTAGTATAAAATTGCATGTTTGATTCCCGGGATTTGCGAGTCGGGTAGAGATAAAAAAATTCAGCTCCTTTCTCAACTGTTCCACAACTAGCCAAAACCTGGTAGCCCAAAGGTACCAAAAGAGGGAAAAAATCAAGAGGAATACATGAAAGTCAATGAAATAGAAAAAGGGCAAAAAAGCAAAGTTCTATGAAACAGAAAAAGTGGGAGGTAAGAAGATAATGGAAGAGTCCAATACTACTAAAAATTCCCATTGCCGATTGGAAACAAAGTCACCATCTTATTATGTTCAAAGGAACTTTGCTAATGTAATCAAAGCTTTCAATAAAATCCAAAAATGATGGTAGGTTTGGATCCATTCTGCTTATCATTATCCCACCACCTCCGCAAATGCTTTATACTCTACTGTATCAGCTTAGACTTGTTCTTTCTCAGGCAATTAGAGAGTGAAACGCTCTCCTTTTGACATGTGTCGACGTTTGGTAGCTTCTCACTTGTTCTCTTGCCCTTGTATTCATTGTCCTCTCCTTGGACTCTTCTCCACAACTCTGTCTCCGAACCATATATAAACATAGTTACCCCTTCAAGTTTCCATCCTGCAAGTCATCTCTAAGAACCACACACATATTTTCAGGACTCTTCGGGCTTGTTGCTTGCAAACTTTCATGACTAGAGCGATGGTCCTCTCAGACCCACCTCTCCTTGACCATTATGGAGCTCTTTCGTGTCATTCAACTCAATGTGATGAACCTCAAAGCCGACTTATCATGGAAGAATGCCAGCTTCCTTTGATTGACTTGAGTGGTCTAAGCAGTCGCGATGAATTGGTTCGCCAAGCTTGTGCTGCAGCCATTTATAGAGCATCATCAGAATGGGGATTTTTCCAAGTGGTGAACCATGGCATTAATCCTCAATTAGTTGGGAAGATGAGAAGTGAACAGGTGAAGTTGTTCCAAACACCCTTTGAAAAGAAAGCGGCCTGTGGACTACTGAATAATTCCTACAGATGGGGAAGTCCTAGGGCTACTTGTCCTAAGCAATTCTCCTGGTCTGAGGCTTTTCATGTCCCTCTTACTAAGGTTTCAGACGAAGCTTGTTATGGAGAGTTTACATCTTTAAGGTAATATTACATTTTCCAGTTGATTTGGACTTGTCTCGAGCTTTAACTTTTTTGCATTGCCAAGTGCTAACATATAATATGTTTTCCTCTAATTTTCTACAGGGAAGTGATGACAGAATTTGCGGCTGCCATGTCAAAGCTAGCAAGACTTCTAGCAGGGATTCTGACAGAAAATTTGGGCCATGGAAAGGAAGTGTTCGACAATATATGCGACCAAAGCACTTGCTTCCTTCGCCTGAATCACTACCCAGCATGTCCAATATCTGCGGAGATTTCTGGTTTAGTGCCCCACACCGACAGCGATTTCCTAACAATTCTTTGTCAAGATCAGGTAGGAGGACTTCAACTCATGAAGGACTCCAAGTGGGTGACTGTCAAACCTAACCAAGATGCTCTTATAGTCAACATTGGCGACCTCTTCCAGGTAAAACTAAAGCTGCAAACCATAAAATCCAATCAACTTTCCCATCATAGTGAACATATATATCTAAATGGCAACTATAATACTTCAGGCATGGAGCAATGATGTTTACAAAAGCGTGGAGCATAAGGTGGTGACTAATGCAAAGATGGAAAGATACTCAATGGCTTATTTCCTGTGCCCCTCTTATGATTCATCGATTGGGAGCTTCACAGAACCTTCCATCTACCGAAAATTCACTTTCAGGGAATATAGAGACCAAGTTCAAGAAGATGTAAGGAAAACAGGCTATAAGGTTGGCCTTCCGAGGTTTCTGCTCAAGGGGACATAGGATTCAACAAGGAGTCCAAAACCAGAGTATACATACCAAGCATCACAGCCAATAGTTAGATGAACACTTCAAAGCAATGCCTCTGGCCAAAGTTTTAAGCTCTAGAAATCTAATCAGCATAATTTAACAAGCAAAGAAGAAAAATACAGAAGCTATTCTAAGACATTTCCTGAGAAACTAATATGATCATTGTACTAATAACGTTCTGTTATCAACAGTATATAACTTTAGTCCTGTGGGATTCGTTATTCGCAAGGGGCTGTTGTGTTTTCGTCTGACTATTAATGCCGACTACAATCATAGACATACCCGCCCACCGAATATTCCAACAATTATTCTGAAGAATGTGAACAAATGATTGAAATTTCAAGATGCTTGGTTGATGCACCTTTTTCAAGCTATAAAGCCTAAAGGTTAGGGAAATCTTTCTCAACTTGCAAAAGCCTGGTATTGAACTTTAGATGGGGCATAACCTAGGGCTGATACCCACTTATTTTATCATCATAAAAACTCATAAACTAAAAAACAGTCCAGAATTTTGAATGCGTGTGTTGTAGTTTATATGGGATTTTACATTAATTTAAACAAATTAGTTTTGAGTTAATAACGTGTCTTATTAACTAAAAATTTAAAAGCTATGTTTTAAATGAAATTTAAATTTTTATTTAGATGAAAAAGTTAGCAATCTTAAATTTTTACCAATTAAGGTAAAATTTTATATGATATCAATAAAATAAATAAAAATTTTCACTTAAATAAAATAAAATATTTTCTTTTTCTTCTCTATTTTCTTTTCTTCTCTCTCTAAGATTTCTCTAAGAATTCAATTGGATTGTAGTTCAAAAATTAATTGATTCAATTAACTAAATTTCACTCAATTAAAAGTTCAATTGAATTGAAATAAAAGATTAAGCTCAATTAATTGCTATAAAATATAAAAACTTAAATAATTTTTTAATTATAGCTCAAAAGCATTTTTTATTTTTTTTAAGAAAAAAAATAAGGAAAAGTTCCAAACTAAAAAGATCAATAAAACCAATCCAATGATGATGAATAGATCCTAGAAATCATGCGTAAGACTGACTTCAAACAGATGCACGTGGGGAATGGAACTAGTTCAGAGTATCCTAACTCCAATTAGACAAAGAATAGAAAGCAACTTCACACACTAATACCACCAAGGTTTGCAATGATTTTAAAACAAGAAAATGTCTTGTGGACGTCCATTCACATTGTTATGCTAACTCCACTGCACCAAAGGACGGGGGAAATTGTTGAATGATAAATTGCATCACACGGCATGCTTCCGGGTCATTTTGATTTCACGGCCGAAATGGCCTACTGCTCTCCAGCAGTTTGCTTTTAAGCCTAAGCATGTGTTCATTTTGCAAGACAGAAGATCATGTGATGAGACTGAGGGCATAAAATTTGTAAAAAAGAAAGAGCAAATGTGATTTTGACTGCAGAGTTCTAATCAATCACCATCCAGTAATTTTCAGCCTCGGACTAAAACATCCACCTTCACCACAAACACAAAAGAACTAACCTACAATGCACCAGGCTAAGAGTTGAATCAGTGCATTACAACGCATGCTTCTGCATAAAAATTTTCAATATCAATTATGGCATTTAGTTCAGCTCACTTTGCTACTGCTCCTTAAAACAGTTGGAAAGACTCACTTTCCTTGCTAAATGGCTAAATGCTCAACAGCAAATTTGCTTTAACTGCAGAGTTCTTGTCCATCATCATTCAATGAATACCATAACCTTGGGCATAAAGGATTCATCACATCTTTACCCCAAAGACACAACTACCGTACAAGCAACATTAAAAAGCATATATATCTTCTTGTTCATGCATCTTTGGGTAGCAACAATCATTCTCTCATTGAACTAGTCCATTTATATTTAGCCGCAATACATTTTTTTCAACAATGTCATTAAGCATTTTCACATCCTTAAAGAATCCAGTACAAACATGAATTAAGGAACAATCTAATCAATGTTTATGCATAAACTGACATCGTCATCATTTAAATTTTATCAGCACTTGTTTCTTTGTAAGAGTCAAACAAATAGTATACCCCAAAAATGATTTTAAGCTTGATATTTACACTTCCACTCATCCCAGACAATAAGGCATTTGAATAAAATCATTTATCCAGTCCAGTATATATCAGATGAAGGATGCTAGCTATGTCTATCACATGTAAAGCAGAGGCCAAAATGCTGCTGGCTCCACGATTTTAGTAGATATCATCATAACTCATAAGTGTTTTTTTCTAGTTACTTAAGGGTTAGTTATACACTTGATGACCTAACACTTACATAAACTAACTTCAAACATCGCAAATCCCAACACTTGCAACCTCTTCCACTATCCTAGGCTGCAATCTCCTTTGTACAAAAAGAATGTTACCAAAGAACCTGACACTTACATAAGCTAACTTCAAATATTGCATTACAATGTTACTTAAGATTACCTAACATCAATTGCGAACAATTAACAGGATATCATCATGGTTTTGTGTGAATATTCATCATACTGTTGACACCACCAAACCAAGCACATCTATAGGAACCAATTAAACTTAAAAATGGTATCATAAAAGCCTAGAAGTCACCTAAATTTCCAAATCAAACCAAAAGTGAGTCAAAAGCTTCCATGGAGTTACCTAAAGAAGCCAAAAACATAATAAATATTATTCGACTGAAATTATTCTTAGATTTAAATGAACTCAACTGAAAGGATATTGCTCAACCAAAATGCATAATAACCCTTCACCTCCCTCAGTAGTCCATGTATTATTCCTATGATCATAAATCAAATCACAGTTTCTGCAATAGCGTTAAAGAAAGTTTTAGGTGCAAATCATTGGTGACCTTCAAAAACTAGTACACTCCGCTACAACCAAAACTTTGAAGGCAACATTTTCATGACTAATAGAAGAGAATAAAATTTGAACTCAACATAGTATGAGGGGAAAATGACTAATTCTTTCCCTACCAGGCAAAGCAAAAAATGGTTTTCAATCTTTACAATTGAAACAGGATTTAGCAACACAAAAGCCCAGGTCTTACATACTGATACTTGAGAAAGGCTTGTTCAAAAAGAAAAATTACACATAATCACTTAGTTACATATCTTTGTATGGAATCAACTAAAACAGAAAGACAAAAACAACAATCTTGGATAACTAGCATGCTAGTAAACTATACACTCCAAGAACGAACAGTAATAGGCCAATATGATGAAGTGCTCCTAACAGGCTACCACCACAGCAAAGATCTACTCAAAATGTAATTTGGCAACTGTTGCAAAATAAAAAAATCAAGAAGATCAGGATTCGCCTTGGATTTGATGTTTGTTTGAGCATATAGATATAATTAACAGGTCCTGAGTTCTTATTCAGTCGAGTAGCATTGCTACCTTATCCCTGAGTGTGCACTTCTTCTTTGTCAAAGGGGCTGTTTCTTCTTTAACATCATTCTGACTTCCTTTTCCTAATTCATTGGAAAATGGCAGATATCTCATACCAAATTCTGTCCTCTTCTCCTCAGTTTTCTTTAATAAAGGACCTAAAAACAGATCCAGCATGTCCTGAGCAGGATCTTCTGTTCTGCTGGTATTGATCAAATTTTTTTCATTTTTTGGACTTTGAGTTGAATCATGAGTTGTTTTAAGAGCAGGTGATCTTCGGTTACCATCAAGGGCAATTAAAGAACTTTCTGACTCGGTTTTGGAAGAGGCTGTAGTTGATAATTGCCTTCCAAATTCACATTCCCTAATTGATAGTTCTTCCAGCACTACGTCCTTATCAGCTTTGACATACTGTACATAAATAATTGCAAATTGAGATATTTCATTTTACTGATGGTTGTAAGAACCAATTCACCGCTTCATCAATAAAATCATTCTCTTTGATAAATACTGAAGTTATAAACACGTGATTTAATGCAATCATCAAAATCTTTTTCCTTAAAAACAGAAAAATCTAATTACCTCTTCAGCAATGCTCAACAAATCTTCTGGAGTCAGTTCATTGTCATCTTCAACTGGAGATGGGATTTTACTATCCTTGCCACTTCTCAACCTAACACATGATGCTTTTCTTTTCCGCTGAAGAGAAGAACCCAGAACTTGTTTTTCCTTAAGACTAATACTCATTTTCTTTGGCGAAGCAGATTCAACATCACATGCTGCATCTTGTCGGATAATTTTCCTTTTCCTCCTCTGGGTTTCACCTTTTTCTTGAGGCAGGGCAGCTTTCTTAGATTGTTTTATGGGCTTAGAATTGCCACAGACAAGTCCATCTCTGTCCTCTTGGACCTTATCATTTTTATCTCTGTCATTAGCGGGCTTGCTTGCTATACCTTGCATCCACAGTGGCAATCGCCGTCTAGTTCCCTCATCACCACCAACTTCAACCATTTTTCTTCTTCCTTATTACTCGTTACAAATCGTTTCTAAAACTTCAAAACCCAAAGCTCATTTGCTGCACAAGGGGAAAAACCCAAACCAATAAAACCAACTCTACTCTACAACAACACAAATGGAACAAAGAATTTCACACCAATTGACAATTACTTCAAAATTCAAGGATTATCAATTTAACTTTTACGAGGATTCAATTCGGTTCAGTTCCTTTCATTTCTTTCTCTTTTTTTTTTTCTAAAAGCTGAATGAATTCAAGACTATGATCAAGAATCACGCAATAATTACAACATAAGAAGAAATTACAATGGAACTGAAGTTGAATAAAAACAAAAAAAAGAAAATTGGAACTGTTTAAGGGCTTTGAGGTACCTTAGCTCCGCTGTCGACAAAGAAAGTAAAATCAACCGACTTAGAGACCCCGACCACCCGACGAGAATTCGAGCGGCAAATGGGTTCTTCTTTCTTAAAATGAAAACCAGAAAAGGGGCGATTTTGTTTTATTTTTCTTTTTAAATTACGTGTTATGGAAGATTCGAACAGGAGATCCACTTTTAGATGTCCAACGGTTGGTTAATTCACCGGTCTCGATAGCCCAATCCAAAATAGGCCCGGCATGCATTTAGTATTTTTAGGTTCTCTTTAGTGGATTTTTGGCCCAAATCCAATAGAGGCCCGGCCTTCAAACATGAAACACCAGCTCGTCTGGTTTTAGTTGGCATAGATATTCAGTCCGTGGCAGTCCACCAAATATCATCCTTTGTTTAATTGAACAACGACAGGCGTTTTCCTTTCGGACATTTTCATTCTGGATCCGAGATAGAGACCCTGAGATTTTGCAGTATTGAAATTCGAAAAAGAAAAGGAAAAAAGCAGATTAGAAATGGCGGCCTTTATCAAGCTAGAAGATTCACCTATGTTTCAAAAGCAGGTAACATTTGTGATTCCAGAATTATATTTGATTTTTTTAAATCGTTTAATTTCTTAGCCAATCAATCGCATATAAATCAGTTTCTATTGATTTTGTGTGTTCTGAATAATCAAAATTCGATTGAATCTGTGCTGATTGGCTGTTGGCTATTCCATTTTTTTTATTTAAAAAATATTTATGTTGGTTAAAATAATGGCTTATTTTTATATTGCCATGTATAGATTTTCTTCGTGATCTCATTGGGATTTTTATTATTATTTTTTAAAATTATGTATAAAAAGGTTCTAATATGTTTGTTGATTGAACAGATATGTTCTTTAGAGTACACGGCTGATGAGTTGAAAAATCGCTGTCAAACACTATACAAAGGAAGCAAAAAGTTTATGTATGTATTTTTTTCTTTCTATATTCACTAAGTGTTTTACTCATAGTGTCACATTTGCCTTATCAATCTATTAGAAATGCTTGGATCCTATTCCTGTCAATAATCATTTATGGAGGTTATGTTTTTTCTGACTAGTAAGTTTCATTCTTACTATATTAGGGTTGTACCTTTTGATTACCATTTCTCTTGTCTCTTCCACATGGTACTGACTGATAACATATTCTGAGTGCGCTGAATCCTCCGTGTGAAAGCATCAGCCTCGTAGCAAGCTTGAAGCAAGATTTTGGGTTCAAAATTTGGTCTCTAATACAAATGTATCTTTGTTGCCTTATTTCCCTTAACATCTGACCTTGAATATGTCCTCTCTCTCCCCCACTATTATATAGTTTCAGCTGCAATAAGAAGTAAGATATGAATCATATGATTAACTTTATCACCCAAAACCCAATAAAACAAGGATAAAATCCAGGGCTCTCTTTAGTGACTTAAGTTGTAAAATACAAGAAGGTTATCTAAGATTCTGTCTCACTCACTTATCTCTCGCTCCATATGTATATTTATTTATTTATACATTTATTTTGCGCTATCTCTATTTCTTTTGCAGGACAGCTCTTGGAGAAGCATATAATGGAGACAATAGTTTTGCTGATTCTTTAGAAGCATTTGGTGGTGGACAAGATGATCCCATTAGTGTCTCCATAGGAGGTATAACTACAACACCAGCCAGCTCAGTTATTTCTTAGTAATTAATGTTAACAATTTTAATTAGGTTTAAAGCTTCTAGTGTAACAAGTTTTGTCAATTAATTTTAAGACAGATGCGCATTTGACTCTGCATGTGTGTGCGTTTCTGACTGCTGAATTGCTTTTCTCAAGTAAATTCTTGTGTGCAATCAATGACAGAAAGCGAAAAACCATTCGGCAAATTTGCTTGTTGCCTTAATGCACAATAATGCTATCAAATGGCAATTGCTTTTTCACCGTTTGATTTTATTTTCATCTTGTTATAGTATAAGGTATTTAAAAACATAAAGGGAAAGATATGTTAGGAGATCTCATTGGGTGGAAAATGAAAGACTGAAGATTCTATCTTAAAGAATTCTTACATGTTTCCCTTTTATAGGGCCGATCATGTCCAAGTTCATCAATGCCTTTCGTGAGCTTGCTAGCTATAAGGAGTTGCTTCGTTCACAAGTGAGTATCAATTTAACATCTAAAGAAAGCAATTCTTTCTTATACAATTGAATAACACAGCAATAAGTACACTTTGTCTTATTAATTTTTATTCCAAATGTATCTTTTTTGTTACGGGCAACGTTTTACTAAATGTTATTTTCTTTGGCCACATTTGATTTTCCTTTTTTTTACTTTATTTTGCATGATTACATAGATAGTGTTTAGTGCCTCAGGTATATTTAGATCTCTATTAATTAATATGCCTGTGTATGTTTTGAAGTTGTTTGATGTAATAAACCATGCATGAAATATTTGTTATTAGATTAGATTGGGAAATTTGTGTCAGATGTCATAATCACCTTAATTTTACTCCAATACTTAATCAGATGGTGAGCTTCTAGATGGTAGATATCATGTACCTTTAAAATTTTATTCATAAAAGGTGTGTCTATATAAGGTATCAACTCTTTTAACCAGCCTTTATTGAGGAAATAAGCTGTTATATGGTAAAAATCAAGGACCTTTGCAATTTGTCTTTCGAAAAACATACTAGGTACACCTACATATGGCATCTGTAGCTTATTACAAACAGTCTTATGACATTATATCTTCTACTGAAAATAAATTCACCTGATCAGATAGTAGCTTTGCTCCAAAAGTCTTTAACATGTTCATTTCTACATAGGCAAATATTTATGTAAATTCTTCATTTGCTATCAGATGCCTTTTGTTCAATCTGGTTAGTTCACATTGCTCTTTGATATGATAGCAGTAGTAGACACTGAACGTGTTTGTTGTGTGTGAAGGCTAACAATCTTGAGGCCACCTGCTGTATAACTTCGGATGAGCAAAATTTTGTTTTCAAACACTTCTAATATTTGAGAGTTAATATTAACATTTACCTCTTACTGTGCTACATGCCCAAGAGAATAGTAACTTATCTTTTGAATATTTTGTTTGGGATGCTTAGTTTTGTTTTTGAGATTTGAATATCCATTACAGGTGGAGCATGTGTTAATTGATCGGCTAATGCACTTTATGACTGTTGATTTGCAAGATGCAAAGGTAAAGATACTTTAGTTGCTATCTCTATTTTTTTTCTAAAATTGATAGTTTTGATCATCAATTTGGAATTGAAATTATTATTAACTAGTCCTCTTTCCACAGTCTATGTGTGTGTGCTGAATTTTTTTGACAAATTTAACAGAAACTGAGTCCCTAAGAGATGAACTCAATCGCTCCCTTGTTGAGATTTTGCATTGAAACTTTGGCTGTGTGCTTGCAATGGGTGTTGTTAATGATTGCCATACTTTCCTTGGCTTTTCTTGTAAATCTTTAAATTCAATCTAGGTGCGGTAGTTGACATAGGATGACCTTTTTTCTGTTAAACAACCACTTTGGTTTTGTAGCAAACTTAATTACTTTTCATGTTTTCTTTGGTGTATTAATGTGCCATGTTTGGATAAGTTGAGACACTTTTGAGGGGGGCCATACCTCATTGAAATAGTTCCTCCACTATAAACAACCTCTCACTTCACTCTTTTGTGGTATTTTTACTTCTATGGTTTGCCTTTTGTGTTTTCTCTTGTCTTCCCACCTCCATTTTTTTTTCTTTTGGAGTGAAGCTTCTCTTTTTCCATTATCCATACCACATTATGTATCCATGTAGTTTGCTGCTAGCCTAAACATATGTTTTTTTATCCATGTACTTCAATTAAGATATTCCTTTTCTTTTGCCATGTAATTTTTTATATTAAATTTGCCTCTTTTCCTTTTTCTTATTGTCTGGAAAATGGAGCCCTTTCTAACAAAGCTGAGTAATCCTCGGAATGTGAAACTCTGATTGTTAGGAAAATATAGGGCCCTCAAATGAATTGAAGAACCAAATATTGAGCCATGTTATGTTCCTTTTTGCATAGGATATGTTACAGTGTTTTTTGTCCAAGTCATGGACGTTACCAATTACATTAGGAGACATTGTATATTGCCCACTTAAGAATTCATTGTTGATGAACATACTGGAGCTACATGATAGTTGTGGAAGCCAAATATTTGTAGCATGGGTTGAGATGTCTCCTCAGAATACAATAAATTCTGATGGTGGGAGCTTGTAGGGTGGGCGTGGGGTGGCGAATGAGTGTGATGGGAAAACATAACGATGACATTCATTATCAAAGATCTCAACAATTTTTATAACATTTCTTTCTTGCTAATTAGATTGTAGTCTAGTGCTAAATTCATGTCTTTTTTCCTCCTTCCCACCCAATTTGTCTCACAGCCCTTATCCTCTGTCTTTTGCAGGAGTCTCGTCGACGGTTTGACAAAGCTATAAATGCATATGATCAGGTATTAAATGCAATGAAAACTTCCTTTCTGACATGAAGTTAATTACTGGGTTTGGATATTGATGACAGTTTGAATCTCCTTCATCATTTTTCTCTCTCTCTTTCTTGCCTTTGAGGTCATTAGGATTAAAATTTTGAACTAACCAGTTATTAGGTAAAATATACTATATTTATATGTACTACCACTGGGAATTCTTCTAAATCAAGAGCTATCCAAGAGAAATGAATAACAGAGAAACCAAATCAGCAACTTGATGACTTATCTTCTATGTTCAGAAATCTGAATTTTCTGTGCAGCAAACAGATTTATTTCTAGTTTACTATCTTCAATATGTAGTGGCAAACATTGATGAAGATGTCTCATTTCTAAATAAGTTCTCCAATGGATTTACTAATACAAGTGCTGAGAATTCAAACCATTAAAAAAGTATGCAGATGGATATGCCTTGTAGAAGTTTTAAATATCATCTATTTTTCCTCTAAAATTTTATGAAAAGCCACCAATCAAGCATAATAAAACCATTAAAAAAGCATCGTGTTCCTTGATTCCTGTAAAATATAATGCTTTTCACTAAATGTTCTGTACTGCCAGGCACGTGAAAAGTTTGTGTCTTTGAAGAAGAATACACGAGGAGATATTGTTGCTGAGCTAGAAGAAGTACGCCCTTTCCTTATGTAATATTGACTCCTCTGTTTCACTAGTTCTCTCGTTTTTCTGTTATACTGAATTTGGTTCACTAGTTAGTAAATATTTAACTGTTTCAGTACCATAAAAAAGAAACAAAACACCTGTTTCTCTGGACCATAGAACTATGGATCTGATATCATTTTAGCTTGTAATTATTTTACTCCTCTTTGTTTTTGAACTATATATCCTGATGTGCCTTTTTCTTGACAACTTATGTGATTGATTCGTTCTCTTAGCTTACCTTTTTCCGAAGAAAGTGTGTTTCCAGTTACCTGGATGGAATGTTTACACCTGGTCTTTTCTGCATAGATATCCATTATGATGTTTCCAGTATCTAATAGCTCATACTTGATCTGCATTGACAAAAGTTTTAGGTGCAAATCTTGAACATTCTGACTGAGTCCAAAAAGTAAATACCACTTTTGCTTAAAGATTTGAAAACCTAACTAACTAATCAATTCCTTATATTAAAGATGGAATTGTGGCTTGGTTTTTTGCTAATGAAGGCATTATTTGTTCAGATTATACCATATCATTATCCATCCACATCTTTTATGTTTTCTTGATAACTTTCAAACTTGTCTATAGAGTGCAGTTGTCTTTTTCATAATAAAACTAATCTGGATTGTATTCTGTGTTGGATTGGATTGGATTTTGTTTTTGACAGGATTTGCAGAATTCAAAATCTGCTTTTGAGAGAAGCCGCTTCAATTTAGTATGTTTACTGTGACTGCAAATCTCCCTGTTTATATATGTTAAAATAATGTTTCCAAATTATTTCATGCTTCATTTGGTGACTTTTCTTTGTGGTTTAAGGAAAACAGGTAAATGCTCTAATGAATATTGAAGCGAAAAAGAAATATGAGTTTCTGGAATCTATAAGTGCAATTATGGATGGCCATCTTAGATACTTTAAGCTGGTTTGTATTTCATGTTATTACGTATTACTTAATTTTTTTTGCTAGTTATACAAATGTAGTGTGTGTGGACTGAATATGATTGATTTCTTTTTGTCATAGGGGTATGAATTATTGAGCCAGTTGGAACCATTTATTCATCAGGTAATATTTTACGTTTTTGTTTTATAGAAAAAAATGAGAGAGAGGTGTTGATTAATACTGTCCAATTGACTGGATTAATTATTTAATGAGGGTTCTGCTCCATGATGTTAAAAACAAGCTAATGACATGTATTCAGTAAACTTAACGATTTCTAGAAATTTCTTCCATAGAAAAGTTGACTCTGTAAATACCTATGACCCTATGACCATCGTGTTGGGTGCTTGTATTGGCAATTAGAAAAGAATTTTGGTCAACCTACATAATCCATGCAATTATGGGAATACTGTGTCTTCTTTTAGAGGCTTAAGTAGAAATATTATTTGCATACCGCTTTCCATTATCATTTTCTTTTTTCAAGCATATGAATAGATGTTAGTGTTTTCAGTTACAAAGCATAAATAGATAGACAGGCACATAGGAGACACACTCAGCTGTATTCTTGTGTGTTTTTTGTGAGGAACATGACAAAGAATATTCTTTGTCTGTGCCAATGCATATGAATTTATTATATCCTAGAACCATCTAGTTGCTTAGTTCATCCTTCTTTGAGATTCTTGAATCAAGATTTTCATCTCCTGAATGTAATAAGAGATCTGCATTTATATTCTGTGTTATATAAATGCATATCTCTGTTAAATCTTACATTGTGTGTGGAATGTGCGCACGCTTGTCATTTTAAACAGCTGGTTTTGTGATCCCTTCCCTTACCCTGTCTGTCCTCTTTATTAAATTTAATTTAATCTGATTTGATTGCTTTGCAAATAAGGTTTGAATTGATGACTGAATTGATTTTCTTATAACAGGTATTGACATATGCTCAACAAGCAAAAGAATTAGCAAATGCTGAGCAGGATAGGCTTGAAAAACGTATTCAAGAATTCAGGACCCAAGCTGAGATAGATACTTTACGAGCTTCTAGTAACATAGAGCCTTCAACAAGTTCTGGAAGCATTCCTGTTATTGGCATGAATTCAGACAAAAACATAGAAGCAATCATGCAGTCCTCAACAAAAGGGGAGGTGAGTGAGTGATCTTCATATCTTTTTTGTTTGGCTGTTATTTTCATATTGGCTTTGTGTTTATTTATTAATGTTATTACTTGGAGAAATGAAATAATACTTTTTCATTCATTTTGCAGGTCCAGACAATCAAACAAGGATATTTGTTAAAACGTTCTTCAAGTTTGAGTTTGAGGGGAGATTGGAAGAGGAGGTTTTTTGTACTCGATAGTGAAGGAACTTTATACTATTATAGGAATAAGGGTACCAAACCAATGGTATGTTATATTACTTTATTACTGTCCATGGTTGATCAAGTTTAGTGATTTAGCTTGAAACATATTGTCTTTTAATTATGATTATTGATAATGGGGACTTATGCATATACCTGGATTTTAGTCTTGATGCTTGAAAATTTATGGTTTTGAAAAATTCAAGGATGTGTTAAGAGATAATTAAGTGTTTTCATGGTGTTGTTGTGCTATAACAGTGTCTTTTAGATTGAGAAAAGTGGAGGGAAAAGAAGTGAAATGGAGAGAGATTATTAATTTCTTATTCACATGGCAAGTTCAGGAGAGAAGTGAAAAGAACAGACTTACAATTTCTCTTCGCCCCATTTTTTATGTCTCCAATTTGGTTAGATTTGGAGAGAAATGAGAATGACTAATGTAGTTCTACATGATTTTTCAAATAAATCCTTTAGATGTAGTAATAAAATGTATGTCAAAAAAATCAAAATGTAAACAAGAGACTGAAATTTCTATCAAATCACTTCTTCATTTATTTACCATCTATCCTCTTCTCTCTTATTAATTCAAACACACTGTAGTCTGGACGTGCTCAAAATTACAAAGTTGCTGCATCTAGCTGCTGAAAAGTTAAAAGTTAAGATAATTTTAACCTTGTTTTCCAGCCAGCTGTTCCAAACTGTTTGAGCTCAATGATTAGGAACCTGCCTGAACTTACTTTGTTCTATAATTGGAATTAAATACTATATAGGTGAGTCGTATTATGTTTTGTTTAGCTGGTAGAGAGAGAAAGAAAAAGGGTTTTAAGTTGCATGTGTATAATTCATCATAAAATGTTGATTTGCAAGTGGGGTGAATTACTTTCCTTTTTACCTATAGATTGACTGCTTGTTCAGTGGTGTTTATCGCTAAGTTTAACTTATGCATAATCTTTTGACTTCTATATGTAGGAACTCATTCTTTAAGATTGTAGATCAAAAGTTCTTACAGGCTATTAATTCCAAATATCTAGTGCTTAATGCTATTTCCCATGATTGCTCCTGTAAGAATGAATATATTTATACAGGAGCATTTATGTACATATTGGCAGCCTGAAAGCCCACATAATATGTTTGAGTGGTTCATTTTCCCCCTAAATGGCTGTTTGATCTAGTATTTTCACCTATTGTAAATATCTATTTTCAAATTATTGGCAACCTGAAGGCCTGCAGTATTTTTGACTGGTTCATTTCTCCCCTAATTGACTGTTTGATTTAGTGTTTTCTCCTTTTGTAAATATCTATTCTCAAATTGTTTGTTATGCAAATATTTGAATTGATTTGAAACTTAAATTTAGCAAGCATGAAATGTATAAATAGTAGATTGCATTCAACAGTTGGTTCCATGAAAGAAGCATTACATAAATTCTTAGGTTAGACAATAAATCTATTTGAAAATGAAATATTTTTGGGCTTATGTAGTGAAAATGATCTAAATGAGGCATGATATTTACTTTATCTGCTTTATTCCCAGGGTTCTCACCATCAATATGCTGGTTCAGCTGAACACAATAGTGGTGTATTTGCTAGATTTCGTGCAAGGCATAATAGGTCATCATCATTTAATGAAGAAACTTTGGGCTGCCATACTGTTGATCTTCATACTTCAACAATAAAGATGGATGCAGAGGATACAGATTTACGGCTTTGCTTCAGGATCATATCTCCGCTGAAAACTTACACATTGCAGGTGCTATTGATTGGTCATTGGAATTTTTTTGCTTCACTTTTACTGAACTTATCAAGGATATGGTTAAATTTTATCAAAGTTGCAATGTGATACATTTAGCTGACTACATATAGTATGAAAAAGGGGTTAGTTTGTTGTTCTTGCTGTTATTGTTGGGTTTTTGATTGTGACTTTATTTGTATTATCAATTATCTTATGAAACCTTAATTTTAGCTATTAATAAGTGTTAACCATCAAACTTAAAACCAATTGGCAGTAAGTGGAGGGGTCCAACTTGAATTTAAGACTATAGGAAATTAGATATTCATTAGATGTGAGATAACACCACACTAACAAGCCCCCATCACGTGTAGGCCGAGATGGAAGAAGTCTATTATGTGACAGATTTGGAAAGGGCAACAGAAAGGAATCTTGGCTCTGGTACCATGTGGAAAAACTTAAAAATAAAATTGTGTAAAAAAAACTGAATGTATATTGAAAAACTGCTCATAAAGAATTATACAAGCACCTTAGGTTTATATACAACTAACTAGTGGGTAAACTAGAAAACTAAATCTTCCTAAAGCTGGTCCTATAATTGAGGGATTGTCTATCCTAATTTTTTGTCCTTAATTCTAGGGATACAAATATTTAATTTTAGAGATACAAATATAAATATACAAATTACAAGATTACAACCAGTTGTAAATAGGTGTTTTCCCACACTTCCCTTTAAGCTGGTGAATAGGTATTTTCCATTCTTAGCTTGGAAATAATTTCTTGAAATCTTGCACTGCTAAGACCTTTAGTCAACATATCTGCAAGTTAACCTTTGGTTGATACATACGGTGTACAAATCAACCCATTGTCTAGTTTTTCCTTTATAAAATGCTAGTCTACTTCAATGTGTTTTGTTCTGTCATCTTTCGCAGGATTGTGTGCAATGCTTATTGCAAACTTGTTATCACAATAGAGTCTCATTGGTTCATCCCACTTGATCTTCAAGTTTTCTAGGATAATCTTTAACCATAGTAGTTCACAAATTCCTTGAGTCATTACTTTGAACTCTGCTTCAGCACTTGATCTTGCCACCACATTCTGTTTTTTACTCCTCCAAGTCACAAGATTACCACTTAGGAAAGTGCAGTAGCCTGAGGTGGATCTTCTATTAGTTACTGAATCTACATAATCCGCATCTGTATATGCCTATAGAACCAGCCCCGAATTTCTTTTGAATAAGATACCTTTCCTAGGATTGGCCTTCAAATAGTGCAATACACAGTAGACAACCTTTAGGTGCACTTCTTTAGGACTATGCATAAATTGACTTGTCACACTCACAGCATATGCTATATCAGGTCTAGTATGTGAGAGATAAATGAGTCTTCCAACTAATCTCTGGTATATCTCTCTATCTACAACAACATATTCATTAGCGTCTCCAAGTTTTTTGATTAGGATCTATAAGGGTATTTGTAGGTTTACATGTGAGCTTTCCAGTTTCCTTCAAAAGATCCATCACATATTTCTGTTGTGAGATGAAAATACCATGCCGAGAGTGAGCTACTTCAATTCCTAGGAAGTATTTTAATCTCCCTAGCTCTTTTATCTTGAATTCTCTAGCCAAACACTATTTTAGAGATTCTCTCTCTTTTTCATTATCTTCGGTTACAATTATATCATTAACATACATACACTAATGGAATTGTGACTTTTCCTAAACCAGAGTGTTTGATAAACAATGTGTGATCTCCTTGACTCTGCTTATATCTCAGTGCTAGCATCACTTTGACAAATCTCCTGAACCAAGCCCTCAGAGACTGTTTAAGGCCATATAAAGCCTTTTTCAGCTTGCATATTTTGTTTGCTTCTAGATGACCTTCAAATCCCTGTGGAACCCTCGTATATATTTCTTCTTCCAAATCACCATGTAGAAAAGCATTCTTTATATCAAATTATTGAAGCTGCCAATTGTAATTTGCAGCCGATGATAACAAAATCCTAACTGTATTCTTCTTGGCAATTGGAACAAAAGTTTCCTGATAATCGACTCCATGAGTTTGAGTGTAGTCCTTAGCCACCAACCTGACTTTATACCTTTCAACAATACCATCTGCCTTGTATTTTACAGTGAAAATCCATTTACACTCAACTGGATTTTTTCCTTAAGGCAACTCTACCAATACCCATGTCTTATTTTTCTCTAAGGCCGCCATTTCTATTTTCATGGCTTGCCTCCATTTCTTATTGGATGATGTCTCGGATAATGTAGTTGGAATGGAAATAGTGTTTAGGCTCACAAGAAAATTTTTATGGGATGGTGAGAATTTTTCAAATGACATAAAAGTAGAGATTGGGTATAGTGGATGCTTAGTACATTCTTTGGTTCCTTTCTTAATGACAATAGGTAGATCATAATCACTAGTTATAGTTTTAGGAGATTCATGCTCATTTTGATAACAGAGTCAAAGATTGTGGTTACCTCATTTCCAAAGTTAGGATCAGGTTCTTACACTTGCACTGGTTCAGTACTTGGGACTTTCCTTCTTGAGTACACCTGTAATTCCTTCATAGAATCACGAATAATATTATTCTTTGTCACATCTTCTGTGTTTGAAATGGGTTCAGAATCAAATTCAGTGTTTGACTTGGACTCAAAAGAAACAAGTTCAGATTCAAAAGAATTAATGGGTGAAAATGTTGAAAAGGAGGACAAGTCAAGCAAAAAAAAGTTTTTATCCTTATCTTCCACGAATGAAGTCTTCTCCTGAAGATAAGGTTGAGTAAAAAATGGTTTACTTTCTTTAAAAGTAACATCTGCAAACAAAAATTTTTTGATAGGAGGATGATAACACTTGTATTGTTTCTGAGTTGATGAATACCCCACAAAAATGCACTTAATTGCTCCAGGATCCAACTTTCTCCTATTATGACTGTGAACATGAACAAATGATGTACAACCAAATATCCTAGGTATGAGGTGGTTTGTGGTATTAAAGTTGGGATAGAATTGTGAGATTAGTTCCTTAGGAGTTTTAAATCTCAAAACCCTTGAAAATAACCTATTTATAATGTGTGTGTGGTAGTGAGAATAGCTTCCCTGAGTAGGATTTAGGTACGTTTGCTTGAAAAAGTAAAGCTAGGGTAGTGGCTAGTAAATGGCTGTTTTTCCTCTTTGCCAGTCCATTCTGCTGTGGAGTGTTAACATAAGATGACTCATGGATAATCCCTCATTTTGGAAATGGGTAGATAAACTTTGGTTGAAATATTCTCTTGTATTATCAGACCTAAATCTCTTGATTTTCACTTTAAATTGATTTTGGATCATGTTTTGGAAGCTTAAAAACACATTATTGACATTTTATTTGGATTTAAGTAAAAATATCCAAGAGATCTTGGTACAATCATCTATGAAAGAAATAAACCACTTTGCACCAGAAATATTAGGAATTATAGAGGGACCCCATATGTCACTATGAATCAAGTAAAAAGGAGTAGAACTTCTTTTATTGCTAATTGCAAAAAGACACACGTCTATGTTTTGCAAGTTTACACACATCACAATGAAAATTTTCAGCATTTAATCCTTTGAACAAAGAAGGAAACATGTTTTTCAAAGTTTCAAAAGAAGGATGTCCAAGACAAAAATGATAAAGTCAAATTTTGTCTTTATTGGGAGATATTTCATAAAGAAATGACAAAGGTAAACTATTCTTGATATTACTTGTGTTGTTTGATGTCTCAAGATAGTATAGTCTATCCTTCTCCTTAGCAAGTTCAATCTTCTTTCCCTAACTCTGGTCCTGAAATTCATAATAGCAGGGATAAAAAATCACTTTGTAGTTCATGTCTCTAGTAAGTTTTTGTATAGATGTCAGATTAATAGATAATCCAGGAACATGAACATTTTTAAGAACAAATGAGGGATTAATTTGAACATCTCCTAATCTTGTCACCGTAGTAAGTGAATCATCTGCACCAACAATTTTTTTATTACTAGGACACAGGGTATATGTACTAAACTTCTGTGAGGAATGTGTCATATGGTCTGTGGCTCTTGAGTCAATGACTCAAGAACTCGCCGAGACATTTAATCCATCTGAACCAGAAGCTTTACCTGAACTAGAGACTTTACCCAAAGAACATATTTCAGTAGGCTTTTCAAGAGTTTTCAATAGGCTTCTTAGTTCCTCAATCTTTTCTCTGTCCAACTTTTTTTGTTCCCGAGACTTCTGTGGTACTCCAGTGGTTTTACAAGTTGTCACTTCGTCAAATCGGGTAGTAGTGGCAAATTTTGCTATTTTGTGGCATAGTTATCTTTCTTAGGACTGAAACAAGTCTTGATAGTAAATGTTTAACCAAAGACTATTCTAGGCAATGAAGGCCATAGAAGGAAAAAACAAGACTGAAAGATTTAACAAGATTTGGCTATGAAGGCGTGAAATAGAATTCAGAAATGAAGGTTGAAAAATTTTTCTTCCCAAGAATAGCCTAAAGCTCTGATACCATGTTAAGCATCAAACTTAAAACCAATTGGTAGTAAGTAGGGGAGCCCAACTTGAATATAAGACTATAGGAAATTAGATATTCATTAGATGTGGGATAACACCACACTAACAGCCCCCATCACGTGTGGGCGGAGATGGAAGAAACTTATTACGTGACAGATTTGAAAAGGCCAACAAAAAGAAACCCTGGCTTTGATACCATGTGAAAAAATTGAGAAAAAAACTTAAATGTACATTGAAAAACTGCTCATAAAGAATTATATAAGCACTTTAGGCTTATATACAACCAAACTAGTGGGTAAACTAGGAAACTAAATCTTCCTAAAGTTGATCCTATAATTGATGGATTGTCTATTTTAATTTTCTGTCCTTAATTCTAGAGATGGAAATATTTAATTTTAAAGATTCAAATATAAATATACAGATTACAAGATTACAAGCAATTGTAAATAAGTGTTTTCGTGCAAGAAGTTTAACTCCTGATTGTATGATTCAAGATGATAGATAAAGGTATTAGGCACTTAACAGTATTTTGCTAGGTTGCTATTTTGGCAAGGTGTCGAACAATTTACAATATATCATTTCAATATCTTCAGGATTGAAATTATTTTGGAAATTGCAATCAATATTTCTAACAATTTTGTAGAGTGGAATTATTTGAAACATGATGCAAGTTGTATTAGCCTCTCCATATGTTGCTAGGTGATCAAAATTCCAGTGTAAAATTAGAAAGCTATTGTCAAATAAAGTGAACAAAACTACATGAAAGGTGCAAAAAGTAAAATTTCGTACTTCTATTTGAATAGTAAACCCTTAGGTCAATGCCATGATGATTCTACTAGTGTATGAGCCAGAAATTTGAATGAATTTAAAGCATTGCAAATATTTTTGGATAGATGAAAGGAAAAATGACTATAATGCACGAAAGGAGTGCCAGCAAGGCTAATTTTAACAGAAAAAAATGATCTAAACACACCAAAGATGAAAATAAAGAAGTTTCGTGAAGAGAGTTGAGGAAAGTTAGCGATAAATTATTTTGATAGATTAATCACTATAAGTGATCTAGACAGTTTGGAATGCCTTGAAAAAATTTTTTTGATTAAGTCTAGAATTGTGTGGAATTAGAGTATTTGTTCTAAGGAGGTCCTCCAGAAAATAAAAGAAGAAAGGCAGTTGGCCTTGGTGAAGCCCTAATGACTAGGTTATCTGACGGTAACTTGGTTGAAAAAATTATTTAACAAGATTTTAATGACTAAAAGATGCTTGATGGATGGACAAAAAGTAGTATATAGATCTGGTGTGATATTCAAAGTTTCTCTAACTGTACCTGTGTTAAAGATTTTGTTAGAGGGTTGAGAATAGGTGTGGGTGTGACCCAACAATTTCTGGGTAATACCAGTGAGTTTGAATCATAATAGGCTTAACTCAAGGATTTTCAGAATCCTTACCTTTTTGCAGTAGTTACAATGATGTTACTAAGCATAGTGAGAGTAGAATTCTGATGTCCATGTTCTATGTAGATGTTATGTTGTATTTTAAGCAGCTGAAGCTTAGTTTAGAGTCAATTATAAGTCTGAATTACAGAATGCATTTGAGTCGTGTTTATTTGGGCTAATTGGAATAGAGATGAATAAACTGAATGTAGTTTTTAATATTAGCAATAGTGATGAAAGCAGAGAAATAAACAAGGGTCAAAATATTATTAATTGTGACAATTTTAGGTATCTAAGATTAAATATTGCTAATGGGAGAGACAAAAGATAATTTACTTATAGGAGGATCAAAACACGTTGGATGAAATGGAGAATTGCTAGTGCAACTGGTGTGGAATATGATAATAGGGATGCCTGTTCATTTGAAATTGTAAAATGTGCATTTTGGTAGTATTAGTAGTAGGTAGCAAACATGTGCACAAAAGAATGCAGCTGAGATGCGAATGTAGAAGTGGATGTGTGCTAGTATAACCAAAAATGGAAAAAAGAAGAGAAAGAATGAGAAATGAAGTTATTTTTCAAACAGTGGAGATAGTATCCATTCGGAAAGAAATTAGAGGAAGAAAATTTAGATTTTTTGAAAGGTGTAATATAAGTCTAGAGAAGTGTAAGTATGAAGGATGACTTGATACAGGTAGAAGGAACAGGAGTCAAAGTGAACCAAGGGATGAGGTAATAAGGATGTGAAATCTGGAACATCTTTCATAAAGCAGAGTCTTAATTGAGTGGAATAAAGAAAAATGATTCATTTTGGCAACCCCAACTCACTTTTTGGAATTAAACTAGAGTCTAGTTGAGCCAATATCATCGCATTATGAACATTCCAACTAGGTGGTTTAGATAGCTTTTTGAACCTAGACTTCTTGCACTTGCATGAACATGAACCTCCATGCCTCCTTTCTGGTATTCTTAAGAACTAGTAAATACTAAAAATGTCAAATAGTTCTAAATGTTTGTATACAAGTGGTTAAAATGATAGCCATAACCAATAGAAGCTAATGACAATGATATGGATATGGTGACTAAATTACTGTGAATTTTAGGACTGTCTTTCATTGAAAAATTGTTGTTAGATGCTTCAGAATGCAAGACTCTTGTTTACAAGTGTTTGGAACTTGTACCAGTATTGATGAACAGAATTGGACTTGATTTATAGAGCTGTGGAACTATGATGCTGCTAAAATCATTTCCTTTTGAAGTTAATTAATATTCCTCAGTATATATTTATGTATGTATGTATGTATGTATGTATGTGAAAAGGTTGAAGATTAAATGCTAGTTAAATACAAGGGTTCGAACAATGAACAATTTTGTCTGAAGTTTTTGAAATAGCTATTTCTGATGCTTCATGTTTGTCACTAAATTATTGCTAAATTCTAATGCATTGATCAAACCAGAAAGTTATCTAGAGGAAGCAGATAAATGAAAACTTCTCAAAACACAATATTTTATTTCCAACAATGGCATGCCCTTTCAAAGCTAAGTTGGAAGTTTTCCTAATCAATAGCAGTTATTCTTTCTTGCCTATAATTTTGCACTTCCACCACTATGGCAGTAATGCCCCTAAAAAGAGAAAGAAGCATGGATCAAGTTCTCGCATACAAACTTGAGTGTGAAACAATTATTACGATTACATTTGAATTACATAATTGAATGTAATGAAACATAGGACAATATTTTTTAACTTTCTAAATTAAGCTAGACAATAATGTTTTCTTCGTGGTGATTGTGCTGATACTTTTTGTCACTGGTTTGAGCAGGCTGAAAATGGGGCAGATAGAATGGACTGGGTTAATAAAATTACTGCAGTTATTACATCTCTTTTGAATTCTCATATCCTGCAGCAGGTTCTTTTTTTCCTTTAAAGTCATAGTTTTCTATTTTTTGTGATGATGAAATAGCAATTCTCATTAAATTGCTACTAATAGTGATTTGATTGTCTGTTGTGGCTGCATCTGGGAAAAAAGCATGTGGAGAATAATGATTATGCTCGCAGAGCTTCTTCTAATGTTAGGTCACCTAATAGGCTTGGTACTTTAGAGATTGACGGAATAGGCAACAGAGCAGAGCCTGTTTCTGCAGTCCTCAGAGAAATTCCTGGAAATGATGTTTGTGCAGAGTGCAATGCTCCTGAACCTGATTGGGCATCTCTTAATCTTGGCATATTATTGTGCATTGAATGCTCAGGTGTTCACCGTAATCTTGGTGTACACGTTTCAAAGGTGCAATTTGTTCTTCAAAAGAAGAGAAAAAGGACTTTATGGCCTTTTTTTTCCTTTTAGTTTTTGTTAATTTTGCTATGCTGGTTTTGAGTTTATAGTTAATAGTCTATGTTTTGTCTTCAACCTGTTTAAGGTCTCCTAGAAACATAAAGGTTATGCCCTTTGATATCAACAAAAATTAGTGTCCGCTGTTAGCTGTGATGTAGTTATTTTTATGCTGCAGGAAGTTTATTTCTATGGTAAGGACATTGAAGAGTATTAGGTTGCAGCAAAGGTTTCTTCTTACTATTCTTGTTGTTATTTTAGATATACACTTTCCACCTTTGATTTTCAAGAAACTAAACTTAATGTGTTGTACCATGTCTTAATTGTCACACATATACAGCTTGTGTGCCCAGGTAAAGTTTCCCCCCTTTTAGATGAAATATGTTAGATTGTTGAATTGAATTCCACGTTATTGGCCCTCAAAGTATTTAGTTCCCTTCATTTCCAACACTTTTGGGTGTTGCACCAGTCTGTAGGGAGAATATGTTGTACAATTTCAAACCAGCTTTTATACTTACAAATAGCTTTGCTGCCATTGACTTATAAGTAGTTCTGCCCAGAAATATGTGGTGGACAATATGAGTCATGTTATGAGAATATGTTTAGTTCCCTTCATTTCCGAAACTTTTGGGTGCTGCTGCAGGCTAATGGGAGAGTGTCGTACAATTTCAAAACAGCTGCTATACTTACAAATGACTTTGCTGTAATTGACTTACAAGTAGTTTTGACCCTTAAAATTTGGACTAATGAGTCATGCTGTTAAATTTCCAACCTCTGAATTTCATGAATTGAATGAAAGTTCACTTACTATTTTAAGTAGCAAAATAAGAAAATTTAAGAGTCAAAGGAACAAATAAGAGGGAGGAGGCTGATCGAAAGAAATTGATATCTTGATCTTTCACTCATCTTAAGAGTCTGAATAAAAGAATACTCTTTTTCTGTGTGCAGGTGAGATCTTTGACATTAGATGTCAAAGTGTGGGAACCTTCAATTGTGGAATTATTTCGTACTTTGGGCAATGCTTATTGTAACTCTGTTTGGGAAGGTTCACTCCCTAAGAATGAGAGGTAAGATTTCCTCAGGCTAAAAAGAATGCAAAAATACTGCTACTAACTAATATGTTAATTTGTAATGCTATTTCTGTACATTACTGTAATTGTTGATTTCTCATAAGGATATATGGTACCTATAGCAGATCAGGCAAGGAAGAAAATAAAATAATGTGCTTTATTGGTATTCTTATCATGTTAATATGAATTTGTATGATTGAGGCATTGTCCGCATCTACATTTTATTCTCAGAAAAGAAATTTTGTACTTTCCTTTTTGTATGTTTGTTTTTATGTGACATATAAAAATTCTCTAAATAGTTTAAATTAGGTTAATGTACAAAGGCTATAAAATTTGGTGGCTTTTTGTGTTAAAATAAGGTTTAGAACGTAAACATCTTTTTTCTTTATTTGACATTAAAAGGGTTCATTATAAAAGAAAAAATTTGTCCTAGTCTTTTCTTTGTAACAAGCAAGAATTCTTATCAAAACAATGTTAAGGATAGTGCAAAAAATAACATTAATGTCAATTAACCAGGTCATCTCTTGAGAGAAATGATGGTTATACTTAAAAAAACTCTAATCCAACTTGTATAACATTTGTTAGCACAATAGCCAGCAACAGTTTTATGTTCTCTAAACACATGCCTAATTGCTATAATCTCATATCTTCCAAAATGTAATTTACAAAAGTAGGGAATATTTTCGTAAAGAGATGTCCTCATTCCTTCATTTAGTCATGTTTTTAAAGCAGCCATTTCTTCATTATCATTATTTTTGCCAATAAAAATTGCCGTGTCTAAAATGCCATTGAAGTGTTTAAGCGAAAGGATTGTTTTGATCATTAAATTTAATTCTTCTGCTTTATCTTGAAAATGATGAACTATGAATTAGATTTTTTTTTTTTTGTTAAAATAGTATTTGGTATAATGTGAGTATCTTTTTCCCTTTTTTTTTTTTTTTTTTTGAGAACCATCATCCTGTTTTGTGTTTATTCTTGTCTACACGAACATGATGTTGGATTTGAGTTATCGCATCCTTTCTTTCTGTCCTATTCTTTGCCTTAATGTACCCTTTCACCCTAACATGTGTGCCAAAATTTCCCAAAAGATGCACTGTTTTTGTTAGATATGTTAGCATGATAATCAGTTAAGTTCTAAATGAGTGAATTTGAGGAAATCAAAGCTGGTAGTGGTTGAACTGATGATCTATAAGTGTTTGAACTGATAGCTTAATTTTGTGTTCTAGTAGCTAGCGATACAATAATCACTTTCCATTTCCTTTTTGGTGCAATTCTTTGCAGAGTGGATGAATCAAATGTTATTAGCACATCAATAACAAAACCATGCTCTAAAGATGTGATTTCCCATAAAGAGAAATACATTAATGCTAAGGTATATAGTTTGATTTCTTTTTCTCTTGATGTCCATGCATCGAAATTCATATTTCACAATCCATGCATTTCTTAATTCCCTTCTTCCTCATCTCTTTTACCCCTTGCATTGTGCCATTTAACTTTTTTGGAGTAGTGGCTGGGCTTTTCAATCAGCAGGGAACCTATTCTTGCATTGTTGTCTACTTTAAGTAATTGTGGTAATATTAGTCTTCTGCTACTTGTATCATTCTCTAAAAGGATCTGTGGATTATTTAGCTTCTTATGCGAGAAAGGAATAAATCACTCTAGGATATGATGTGTTATTCTTCATAGTCAAGATCATTTCCTGTTGGTTTCTTTGTTCTTATACCCGGAGTAATATTCAAGGCTGAAAAGCAGGTGCACTTGCACACATTCCTGTTCCTTTTAGACAATTGCCATTTTTCATGTGCAAATTGTCATGCTATTTAGATTAGTCTTTCATCTCTCACGCTGCTATGATAAGAGGCTGCGATTTTCAATACAGAGCCTAACATTATTCCTTCTCTTAACTAGTACGTAGAGAAATTGCTAATCATCAGAGATGAAATGCAACCTGGAGTTCTTCCAAAGTCAACAAACATCTGGCAAGCAGTTAAGACTGATAATTTACGAGAAGTGTATCGTCTACTTGCAATATCAGACACCAATATCGTAAATACCACCTTTGATGATGCTTTTAGCATTGAGTTCTATCACCATGCTGTTGACGCACAAGACTCATCACTTGATAGCCACAAAGAGGAAAGGAAACAGTATGATCCATCAGCCTGTCAGAGGATCAAGGATTCACATGACCCGAGGAACTGTCTACAAGGTTGTTCGGTTTTGCATCTGGCATGCCAATGCGGTAATCCTGTGATGGTTGAGCTGTTGCTGCAATTTAGTGCTGATATAAATATGCGGGACTTCCATGGCAGGACTCCTTTGCACCATTGCATTTCTATAGGCAACAGCCCATTGGCAAAGCATCTACTAAGAAGGTAGGCTGCATATTTTGCGTAATTACTTATCCATAAGAAATCTAATATTTCAGACAAACAGATGACACCATCTAAGCATATGTCTTAAGTCTAAATGATGGAGTACTAATTTTAGTCTGGTTCCCAACTCAAAGGACTAACCTATTTGGTGAGATGACCATCCCTCTATTCTCTATACATGCCCAAGATTGCTCTAATACACAACTTATGTGGGACGTAGCAAACACTTGCACCATTTAACAGCTCTCCTGGCCAATCTGTGATACTCTCATTTGGGGGACCAGCCAAATGAACAGATCACAGCATGTGGTCTGGTGCTTTACTGCCCCTGAGTCGACATGACCGTACCACCAGAGTGGTTTTGATGCCACTTGTTACAAGCCTGGGTCTCAACCCAAAAGACTGGGCTATTAGGTGGTGGTCACCTTTTATATATACCCTAGACCACTTAGTTTATTTACATAAAATCTGGGACTTAGACACACCTTCACCATACAAGTGGTGTTAGAGCCCTGTTGAGATACTATCATGTGGACTTGGGAGCACTAAGGGCGCCAAATGATGTGAGCCCCCTTGGTGAAATATCGTTGGTAGAGAGAATTGTCATGTGGAGCAGGTGTGTGTTGAGTCCCACATCAAATATGTACTAGCTAAATAATGCTAATGTTGAAATCCTTTTCTTTGTTGTATAACCTTCGTTCACTTGGAGGACCAAATTTGTTCTAGTTTGACTGGCGAAGACTTGTTGCTTAATTGTCTGGATTAATTTCAAAACGAAATTTCATATTGGTCCCCAAATCTGGAGATGGAAGCTTTTATCAAACACCGAATTATTTGATAAACCTATTTCATATGGTTGAAAGATTGCATCATTCAATGTATTGATTGCTCTACTCATAAAGTGCTTGATAAAAAGGATTGATAAAATGACAAGTTACGGTTTACCTTTTAATATAATGCTTCATTTTTTTGTCTCGTCTGTCCTGTATAAGCGGTTTTAATTTGCCAACACTGTGCAGAGGCGCACGGTCAACGATTAAAGATGGTGGGGGATTAAGTGCTTTAGAAAGGGCTATGGAGAAGGGAGCAATTACAGATGAGGAGCTCTTTATTTTGCTCAGCGAAAGCTAGTGAAGCAAACATGGTTGCCCCAAATTCGTAAGCCTGCTTCTCTCTCATGACTTCCACTTATGTTGGCTGTTGTTGCCTATAGCATAACAAGAACCTTCTATCCTACTCTAAGCTGTTGACATTACTGAATTGTTTATCCTATAATATTTAAAACTAGATGTATTCTTAGGGGTAATTGTTGGAACCTTCCCTTTGTGCTTGCAATGGTTGGATGATTTTCTCTGTTGATTGTTTTGCTAGTGCCAAAATTTTACTGACATAGTCTCTAAACTCGCGAGGGTAAAGTTGAATTGGATGGTCACTGGTTGTAATATAACAATATGTTGAAGGCATAAGGGCCAATTTTCTTTGCTTTTTATCTAAATCAAGTTTGATTTCAATTCAGATATTTATTCTATCATTGGGAAAAGTTATTTGATTGTCCTTGATTTATTGCATGTGTTCGGCATTTAATTAGATGAAATCTTTTCTTTCTTTTTTTTTTTTTTTTTTTTTTTTTCTTTCTGTTTTACCTTCCTACAAAGCACACCATCACAGAAACAACAATCTTTCAAACTGGTTTAGTTCTGCAAAAGTTTTCTATTGCTTCACGTTTTCAAATATTTTGTTAACCAAATTGTAATTGATTTTCTCATGAAATAAAAATTCTTTTGCTCTTCTGACAAGTTGCTTTAATTATAGCTTTTTCCGCATCATTTTACGTTTATAAAGTTTATATTAAGGGATGTGTTATTCCAATTTTTTTTTCTAGAGAAACAAACAAAAAAATAAAAAATTTTCCAATGTATGCAAGCAATGAAGATGCATTCGTTTCTTTAGTATTAAAAAAAATCATTAAAAGTGTTTAAAATAAATGTGATTATATTTTATGGATTGCATTGCAATGTTTGGACTTGAAAAAAAAATTCACTAAGGGACGTTTAAAACGCCAAATCTTGGATTTTTAGAAAAAATATGATTTTTGAAAAAATACAGTAGTCGAATTTTTTTTTATTTATTTGTAAGATATCTTGTATTCAGATTTATTTATTTTATTAAAAAAAAATTTACGTATATTAATTTTTACATAATTATTATAATCTTCGTAACATATATGATATTAATTTTTTATTTTATTTTATTAATGATAAATACTCAAATCTAAACGATGCTTTTAACATAAAAAAATAAATATTTTATTTGATTGTTATTTTTATTTATAAAATATTATTAATTGAGACATTTGACACCTTTTTGAATAACAAAAATTGATAAAAAATATTATTAAAAAAATATCAATTAATGCCTTTGTCACTTTTTTTATATCAAGAAAAAAATTAAAAAAGTTTTTTTTTTAATTTATTTATAAAAGGATCATTTATAACTTTTTTATACAAAAAAATATCTTAGATAATTTTTTTAAAAAATTAAAAAATTATTTAAGGTGTTTATGTATTATTTAAAACGTTTTTTGTACAGAAACGTCTTAAATAATTTTTTTATATTATGAATCATTTAATAATTATCTTTTAATTTATAAAAAGATTATAATAATTATTTTATAAAAATATTAACCTTAAACCTTAAATCTTAAAGTATGAAAGGATTATTTAAAATATTTTTAAATAATCTATTTATAAAATATATAAAAAAATTATTTAAGATATTTTTGTGCAGAAAACGTTTTAAATAATATTTTTATAAAAATATAAAAATATTTTTAAGGTATTTTATTTATAAAAATGTCTTAAATAATCTTTTTATAAAAATATTAACCTAAATCTTAAAATATAAAAAAATTATTTAAAATATTTTTGTATAGAAAATACCTTATTTAAAGATTTTTTTATGACATTTTCTATATAGAAACACATGAAATAATACTTTTTTAACAAATATAAAAGGATTATTTAAAATAATTCATTTATAAAAATATAAAAAAATTTATTTAAAACATTTTTTCATGCCAAACATCTTAATTGCAATATAAAAAAAAATATTTTTTTCTGTACAAAAACCTACAATTAAGTTTCAATAACTTCCAGACATGTTTTTCAAAAGAATAATGACTATTTCATCATTTTTTATTTAGGTTAAATTTAAAAATAAATCAACTTTTTCCTTCAAAATCCTAGAATATAAGAGAAAGAGGTGAATTTTTATTCCATAACTTTAGGTATTGTTAGGAATTTGACATTTTCTCCTGTAATCAAATTACCTTAAACAAAGTGAAAGTCAAATACACACCATCAAGATTCCAGAGAAAAATGTGTGGATTTCCCCAAACTGAACGCACTTTAATAGTTTTGATTTCAAATCTGTTTGATTACAACTAATTTAATCAAGACCAAAATTGATAGCTGAATCAAACTCTGAAAAGACAAGGATTAGCTGTTTTTAACTAAAATACCCTTGATTGATAAACTAGACTTTGAATGATTCAATGAACATCATATTTTCATATGATATTTCAAACATAAAAGTTTATGTGCAAAAGAAATCACAAATGGATTTAATAAGAGTTTATATTAAAAGTTACTGGGAGCAATGCAGAGCAGAATTTTGAAGAATGTTCAGACCCTCCTGTGTAGCTGAAAGAATACATTTCTGGCAAAGATCAAGTGCCAAATGAAGAAAAATCGAAAAAAACCAAGAGCAGGAATAAGCATAAGAAGATTCCAACGGTATTCTTACTTAACAATCATCCATGTTCAATCAAAATTGCAGCCACATCACTAGCTAATGAAAATAAACAGCTACAATCAGAACATCTTCCAAAATGTCTCAAAACATAATATCACAAGATATATCCAACATAAAAAAATTTTAAAATGTTTAAATTGAAAGTTTAATAGTCATTTCATCATAAAGAAATCATCATATCTTGTGATAATTGAATTTATCTCCATAGTCCATTAAGGAAGAGCAGCTTCCATTTTCCAAGACTAACACATTCCTTTCTAGCTATTTATCAATTTCTCAACAACTTGTTTTGCCTCTCCTGAACTTGACATTTCCACCACCAATCCTTTAACCAGACCTTGCATGGCTTTTATAGTTTATAGAGGAAGAGCAGCTTCAATTTTCCCCCATGATTCTAGGGCATCCCCTTTAAGCCTCTTTTTCATCTTCTCCACAACTCGCTTTGCCTCCTCTGATCTTGACCTTTCAACCAACCCTTTAACCAGACCTTCCATTGCCTCAAATGGAGGAACCCACTTTCTCTTTATAATTTCCATACTCATTTCCAAAGCTGAATCAAACTCTCCTTCCCTCACCATACTCCTAATCAAAGTATAATAAGTAAATGAACAAGGCAAAACGAATCCATCACTCAACATCTTGTCCAAAACCTTCCTAGCCGATTCCAAATCCCCTATCCTACAAAACCCATCTATAATAGTATTATAACTAGCTGAATTCGGCTTCACCCCTTTCGAAACCATCTCATCCAACAACTTCTTAGCCCTAGCACATTCCTTACTCTTACACAACCTCGAAATCCTATGGTTATAAGTAGTCAAATTGCCCTCTAAACCTTTCTTCAAAACCTCCTTCATAACCCCATCAAATCCATTATCATCCCCATTCTTCAAATAAGCGCTTAACAATATATTATAAGTATCAATATTAGTACTCACATCCATTTTCTCAACCCATTCGCGTGCAGGTTCAAGCTTATTTTCTTTCACAAACGCTTTCAGAATCAAGTTATGTGATACAACAGTAGGCTTAACCCCAAGCTTCACAGGAATACTCTTAAAGCAATCATGAATTTGCTCAAACATGCCATTGTTCAGATAAACTGTAAGAATAGCACAAAGGGATTTTTCAGATACATTAGAATACCTGTTTTGACATAAATCTTCGAGGGTTTGGAGTGCTTGAGGGACCATCCCTGCATTTGAGTAAAGCATAATGAGACGAATCCAAAAGCCTTCAGACTTCAGGGCAGGGGCATTTTCAGAATGCAGCTTTTGGGTTTGGAGAAGGCGGTCGACCAGGTCGAGACGGTTGGCACGAGCTAGCTTGCGGATGGAGAGGTGGTAGATGGGGCGGTGGCGGAGGAAAGTGGGCAGATGGGAACACTGTTGGAAAATCTCCGCCAGCTTTTCAGGGTTTTTTTCTGATATGATGGCTGATTTTGCCGCTTTGAAAGAAGGAAATGGGGGGCTGTGTTTCTGCGCTTGTGTGGAGAAGAAGAATGATTTGGGGATTGCTAGTTTTGAGTTCTTGAAGAAAGAAGCCATCCTGTTTTGATGCTGAAGCTTTGGAAAATGGGGAAGACAGTAGGGTTTTAGTAACCTCCTGAGCAGAGAATTTCCAAGAGGTGTATTTAACTTAAAATAGTGCAAAAGTTATGGTAATGCAAAGTTTATTATTGTTTTGTGTAGTAAGTTTTACCTTTTTTCTTTATGCTAGTTTAATTGGGGGTACATGGCCCATTGGACTTACGGTCCATAATCCAAGCTTTGTGGTCTACAAAATGACAAAATATTAGTATTTTTTTTTGGCAAGAACTATTAAAGTATTTGAAATAAAGTATAAATTTATTGAATGATCCAAAGTTATAACTAATAATTTAATTAATATAATTTTGTCATTATAATTTTAATTTTGGACATACTTAACACTTTTAGTTTTAGAGTGAAATTAGACAAAATGTCATAATTGAGAAATGTTTTATAAAATATTTCATTATAATTTGTTTTATAATTTTAAAAAATATTCAAAATAACTTTACATTATAAAGAAAAAATACGATTAATTGAAAAAGTATGAGGAGACATTATATTTAATAAAAAATATCATATGAAAGAAAAAATAAAATAAATTCATAAAACTTTTTTATATGTATGAGGATTCAATCCAAAATAAAAAGGACAACACCAAGTTTGCATAAACTTTTTTTTTTATATGTATGAGAATTCGATTTAATATTTTAAATAAAAAAAAAAAAAGCAAACATGAATTATTGAACGAAATTTAGTTTGATTATAAAAAATTTTCATTAAAACTTGTGGGGTTTGCTAAAATAAGTAGGGGACAAATGAAAAAAGATAATAATAGTTTATTCATATATATATATATATTATTTTTTTTCATAAAGCTAAAAGATTCATCCCTATATATTTAAAATCTTCATTATAAAAGAACAAAAATCTCAATTCATTTACGTAGCTGTTGGCTTCTACAAAGTCCGAAACCATTATTAAAATTTATATATATATATATATATATATATAAAGAAAAAAAAGACATTGGTCCAACTTTTCCCAAGTCCAAAACCATCAAAGTTGTGGAAAGTTGAAACCTTTCTTTTACCATCACATCATTAATCACCAAAAACTCAAGTATAAAAAATGAGCAGCAGTCAGTCAGCATAGCAGCAAGCAGTACAGCCGCCACCAACACCACCGTCTCGTCTTTCTCTGCCTTTCATAAGACCCTTCACATCTGAACCAAATTGTTCCTTAAACCCATTAATGGTTTCTCTCAGCCACCCTCTTATACCCCTTTTCCTTTCCACTCCAAAACCAAAACTCCAACCAAACAAATTCCCAACCAAAGTCCGCATGTCTTTCCAAGAATCAGGCCCGTCCGTCGCCGTCGTAGGCGTCACTGGCGCCGTAGGCCAAGAATTCCTCTCTGTCCTCTCCGACCGTGATTTCCCTTACCGTTCCCTCAAGCTCCTCGCCTCCAAACGCTCCGCTGGCAAGTCCATTTCCTTCCAAGACCGCACCTTCACTGTCCAAGAACTCACCGCCGACAGCTTTGACGACGTTGACATCGCGCTTTTTAGTGCTGGTGGGTCGATAAGCAAACAGTTCGGTCCCATTGCGGTGGAGAACGGTGCCATCGTGGTGGATAACAGCTCGGCGTTTCGAATGGTTGATGGAGTGCCTTTAGTTATTCCTGAAGTGAACCCGGAAGAAATGGATGGGATCAAAGTTGGGATGAAAAAGGGTGCTTTGATAGCAAACCCGAATTGTTCTACTATTATTTGCTTAATGGCCGCTACCCCTCTTCATCGCCTTGCTAAGGTATAAGATAAAGTTTCCTTTTTTTTTTTTTTGGGGGGGGGGGGGGGGTATTGACTTATAAATGTTTAAACTTTTGATTCATAGATTAAGGCTTTTTTTAGAATTTGGTTTTGCTATAATTGTTTGATGCTGCATTTGGGTTTTTATTAGATTAGATGGATGATGTTTTAAAGTTGCTGAAGTTATGAATGGTTGAAAATGTGTTGTTTTGGAGACATTCCCTCGTATAAAAATCTAAGCAGTTTATTGTAGATTGGGTAGTTTCCTTTGTAGAAGGACAGTATAAAGCAAAGTAATATAGAAACATGAAAGAAGGGACTTCTTGAAGTAAGATAAATATGTGATTGCTTGGAAAGCTACTAGGTAAGAAATGAATCATCAGATCTTTAATTTGTATGATATAATGATTTGGGTGTTTGAATTTTGCTGTGGATTAATTTTAACTGAATTTTTCCTCAGTTAATGAGAAAGAAAACTATATGTTTTTAAATCTTTAGGGTAGGATATCTATTGTTCACTGTTTAGAGCTTTTGCCTGTTTCACTGCCTAAGTTATTATTTTGCTGCATCAAGCAATTTATACATCTGATTCCCACCTGACAGCGTATGCTTCAAATATTGATTCTGTTCATGGCATGCTGCAGGTGACCCGTATGGTGGTTAGTACATATCAGGCAGCTAGTGGTGCTGGTGCTGCTGCCATGCATGAGCTTAAGCTACAAACCCGTGAGGTTATTTGATTCATTTTTTTCTCTTTTTTAGTTTGCTGCTTACTTGTTATATGAGAGTTTTGACTTATTTTTTTCTTGTAAATTGATTCCTTGATGCATTTTCTTCTAGGTCCTGGAAGGGAAACCGCCAACTTGTAATATCTTTAAGCAACAAGTATGTTTGTTTTGCAGTATTCATAAATTTGTGTATATCTTTTCTCACCTGTTTTCTTATAACTTTCTCATATTTCTTTATACTTTTGCAGTATGCTTTTAATTTGTTCTCGCATAATGCCCCTGTTCTTGAGAATGGATATAATGAAGAGGAAATGAAAATGGTGAAGGAGACAAGGAAAATCTGGGTGAGAAGTTAAAGTTTTCTGTTATATAAAATCATCTAGTATGTCTTTTTTCCTTTGAATTTTCCATTGATAATGAAAACCATCTAATAGAAGAAAGTTTTTTCTTCCATGGTTGTCTGTCCCATTTTCTCAGAATGACATGAATGTTAAAGTCACTGCAACATGCATACGAGTTCCTGTGATGCGTGCGCATGCTGAGAGTGTGAATCTTCAGTTTGAAAAGCCCCTTGACGAGGTAACTTTTATAATATTGCGAATCTACAATTTTATCTTCAATATATGAAACAAAAGCAATAAAAAAGTTACAAATGTTTGATTTGTCTTTCACATTGTAGCTAATCTGGTGCATTACATGCATTGCATTCATCTTTTAAGTTTTTAAGCTTTTTTTTTTTTTTTTTCATTTTAAACTTATTTTAGGTGATGGAATTTAGGAATTCTTCTCATTTTACTTGTAGCTATGAATTTTTTTATTTCTTGGGACAGAAGTTGTAGAGGGTGGGTTAGATTTAAAGTTGAATCTTGTTCAACTTTTATGAATAGAACAAGGAAAATTAGAAATGGAAGAGACATCTTCCATTCTTACTTTCAAGACACATTGTTTGGGACAACTATTGTCAAATATGTTATATGAAGCATATAAAATAGTATAGTACTAGTAAAGCAGCGAAGGAACCCAATTTATATCATCCCTAATGATAGTGTCTATATTGGAGAAACTGGAGTAGACTCCAAAAGAAATGAGACCATCGGTTTTTCAAAATAGAAACCCAAATCCGAATTTTTCAGTTTCTAAAACAATGCTAATGCATTTCTGGTGAAGCCCATGTTAATTTATCTAAATCTTATTTCATGCTATCTTAAGAGAACTTGTAAAGATCTTTTATTGCTATTGATCTTATTGAGATAAAAACAAGTGCGCTCACTAACATATAGAGTCATATATATTACTTTGTATTACTTTTTATTCCTTGATATCTTCAAATTGCAATCATTCATCGAGTCTCAATGAATATGATGTTTTTCCAATATGATAAACAATATTATGTTTTTCCAATTGGATTCTTAGAACATGTTAGCTTAAATTTGATAAAAGAATACAATTAAATCAAATGCTATGTTGTCTTTAAGCATAATTGTATTTTATTCGGAAGGGTCATGTAGCAAATAGATCAGCTACTTATAGGCTTGGCTACATCTCTTCCTATATAGAAAAGTCTTCTGGTTCCCTGTTTCTGGCCCAAAAACATTTTATCTCGCGATAAACATAGCTTTGGTTTTATTTTCAACACTTTATTTGGTAATTTTTTGTTGATCAGGACACAGCAAGAGAAATTTTGAAAAATGCTCCTGGGATAGTAGTTATTGATGATCGGACTTCTAATCACTTTCCTACACCATTGGAGGTATCAAACAAAGATGATGTTGCTGTTGGCAGAATTCGCCAGGATGTGTCTCAAGAAGGAAATCAGGGGTAAAATTCCTCTTTCCCTACATTTTTATTTGTCATTTCAGAAAATTTTCATACTAACATGAAATTTTAAAATAGGTTGGACATGTTTGTCTGTGGTGACCAAGTACGCAAGGGAGCTGCACTTAATGCTGTTCAGATTGCGGAGTTGCTGTTATGATCTTGCTGGGGTAAATTCATTAAGGCAATTAGATTTGAACTCGCTGGTGTTTAGTTTATTTAATTTGATCTTGAAATGCAGATATTTATTATCTTGGTGAGTTGAACAAAACTTTGAAAGTTTTTTGTAGCTCGATGATTTCACTTCTGAAAGTATATTTATTTGAACTAATATTCCCTCTTGGAGGGCAATTTTGTCTAGACAGTCTTGTAATATTAATCCTGCTTAGGAGACTTCAGATTGCTTTATACTCCATCAGTGAAGTTATAACTTCATTCATAGCTGTATACTAAGTATGTGTCTAGTTTGCGACAGTCTTCTTAATGAAGTAAAAATCTTTCGCTTCTACCTTCTCTACAGCTTGTTCTTTGTGAATAGGTTTAACGTTACGAATTGTCTCCAAACTATGAAATATGAAAATATTTAATGTGATGCATAAATTTTAAAAATTTTTACTGTATCACATGAACTACGAATTTATCAATTAATGTATTATTCATTTTTAATTTGATTAATTTTAAATGATTACACATAGCAGATAATATTTTTAGTATTACATTAGTTGACTGATTCGTAATTTAATTATCACATTAAATATCATATTAAATATTTTAGAATAATTCAGAGATAATTTGTAATATTAACTTTTGTGAATATGTATGTTAATAAAGAAATCTATAGGTAAGTTACTTGAACTTAAGTTAAAAGAATATTTTGGATTCAATTTATTTATTGTCAAGTTTGCTCGAATGTGAGTAATTCAGATCATCACGCAAAGCTAAATTCTCAGTCCTTGGATACTTAATTCAAAGGGAAAAAAGAAAGAAACTCAAGATTTCATCAAAGTGGGATTCTGTGAAAGTATTCAAAGCAGTTTAAAATTCTATCAAATCATTTCTCTTGGACAAAATGTATTTGCCTTGGTTCCCCACTTCTCCTCCCGAGAAGGAGAGAATTCCCTTTTGGGGAGGAAAACAGATGTCATATGTTATCTTTTTCTCTAATTAATTTTTTCGGTAAAATAGGACATAACTTTAACCCTGACTCAGGGTAAAGAATCTATCAATTTTAACAAATTCAATTGCTAACATTTTTAATATGAATTTATATTTAATATATTATTGATTTATAAATTTTATATATTATCAATAAATTATATAATATTACTATATTAATGAATTATATAATATTATTATTTAATTAATAAAAATAAAATTTTATAAGTTTTTAAAATAAATATATATAAATTTGATTTTTTAAAAAAAAAAATTCTTGAGGAAGCGTTATGGTTAATTGATTGTGTATAAAATTTATATGCAAAAAATATATTAATTATAGAAAAATCGAGTTACATAATATATGTTATTGTGTCTAAAATAATTTAAACAAATTTAAACTATTTACCATGAAATTGTTGTTGGCTAAGCAATTTAAAGTATAAAAATTTACGTTTAGATTATTTTGAGTGGGAATCCAATAGGATATCAAAACGTGTCAATAATTTAGACCGTTAAAAAGCAGAACCCTGATGTCACCTCGCCTCACGTCAGCAAAAATACTAAAACAACCATGCTAGGCAAAAGCATAGAATCTCAAACCTTAACTTCCTTTTATTTATAAGCCTTCTTGGCGCCACAATTGCGTATCAGTGTCTCTCTGTTTTAGTTTCTCTTGTTTTTTATTTATTATCATCTCAAATCTCTTCATTTTTTAGTGAGTTTCTATTTTTTTATTTTTTTGTATGTTTTAATTTTATTTTCGTATTATTTTAAATTTTGATAAGCTCATTGACTTTTTTCTTATTTCTTTTGATTCATTCTCGTATCTTTTTAAATTTTTGTGAATCCTTCTCTCACTGTTTTGATTTTTTTTTATCTCTTATATCTTATTGTGATATTTTTCTTCAAAGTCAGGTGAGTTTCTCTCTTTTAATTTTCTTGGTTTATGTCTTTTTTCTCAATTTCTTCTTATTTTGCTATTTTTTCTTTAAATTTCATTGAACTTTCATTAAAATTTTCTTTGAATGAAATTTTTTTAATAATATCAATTTTTTAGCAAAGTATAATCCTCAATCCTATGTTAAAAAAATATATAATTATGATATGATATATAAATAAAAATTAAAACTTATATTTGTAAGTTATGTTTTGTAGGTAATAAAACTTGCAAATCAAAACTAATCATATTTTGTGAGTTGGATACAAGTCTTCGCATAAATTTATGCACTAATTACTTAACAACATGTTTGGATGTTATTATTACATTTTTTATATATTTAAAATTATTAGAATTAGAATTTGAAATTAAAAATTTAATATTATACCTTGTTGTTGTCACATAACATTTTTATTATTGCTCAGTTATATTCAACTATTATTCTAATTCTAAAGCTGAATGAGGCTTTAAAAGCTTATTTGTTAACAGAAGGGTTTCTTTTTTTTTTTCTTTTTTTTTTGGTTTTGGTGGTAGTTTGTGAAATTGCAGTTAAAAGTACTGATTGGAGAGGGAAATGGGCAAGACAATTGAGCTCCATGGGTTTGCTTCAGCTGTTAGTGTAGAAGAAGTGACGGAATTTCTGGAGGAATATACAGGAAAAGGAAGTGTTGCGGCTGTAAGAGTTGGGAAGTCCAGGAGAAAAGGCGCAAAAGCCCGTGCCATAGTTCAATTCAAAACAAATGAAGACGCTGAAAGGATCTTATTCTGGACCGCTAATGAAGATCTTTGGCACAACGACTCATATTTGAGAGCCTGGGCATTGAAACGTGACATTATCCTAGAACCAATCAGTAGCATAGATGATTTGATGTTGCACTTTGGTTGTCAGGTTTCGGAACAAAAGTTTTCTGTCCTTTGGAAACATGATCATGTCTCCTTTAAGTTTGGTTCACAATTGGACAAATTATACTTTTTTCTGTCTTATAACTCTATGGACTACAAGCTCGAACTGGTCAGCGACAATATTTGGCAGATTGTGTTACATTATCCGCCTGATCAAACTAAGAAATGCCTGCTCATTCAGGTATGTTTGAAATTGGATTGTGTTACATTCTCTTCTTTTTCAATTTCATCTTCTTTACTTTACGTAAATCTTCGGCATTAGATTACCTGTATGAAGTAGATGTAGTTTTCAGATAAAAAAAAATTCGAAAAACCAAAGTTAGCTTTTGTGACTATATTCCCTTATTCATAATATATATATACATATGTATATACAATTATATACACAATTATATATATATATATACATATATATATATATAAGCAATGAACTCTAAAACTGCAAATGGTAAATTATATATACAATTGATAATTTATTAAATTAATTATTGTCTTCTATTAATGATTTTCTTATTAAATTAAAATATTGATTAATTTTTATTTATTTCTTCATTATTGTTGAAGTCTTTATTAAAGTAATTAAACTTTTTTAATTAATAATACCTTATTAAATTAATTACTGAATAATTTTTAATTTTCTATTTTCTAAAATTAATTAAACTTCCTTTAATTAATAATTTTCCTATTAAATTAAATATATACTATTTTTTTATTAAAGTAAATTATCTTAAGTATGAGACATGAAAATATAAATTAAAATTTATTAAGGGTTAAAAGAGAATATTGAATAATTTGTATTTATTTTCATATTAATATTGAGGTCGTTAGTAGTTCAAGTAAACTTTTCTTAATTTATAATTTTTAATAAATTAAATATTTACTAATTTCTATCTATTTATATTTCTTTATTAACCTTGAACTCTATATTAAGATAATTCGTTCATAATATAATTTTAAATTTAGATACACCAAAAACTAAAGTTTTTATTCCATGGAATAATTAAAGTGTTTAAATAATATTGATAGATTTCTCAAACTCTATTAAAACGTCTTTTACTGATTTAACCTAAAATTATTTGGGCAAACATGAATAATTTATTAAAGTTATATTCGTTTTAATTATTTGATATAATAATTATCACTATACATTATACTTTACATTTAAAAGTTATTTTAGTGTTATTTTGATTGTATTGAAAGAGTAAAATTTCTTTTATTTTTATAAAAAATTATTTTTCATCAAAAAACTTATTTCAAATAATGATATTTATGTATTATATCATCCACGTGTAACATAAGTCTAAGATAAACTAGTATTTATAAAAAGAGTAAAAAAAATTAAACCACCACTATGATATATAAATATATATATATATATAGGTATGTATGTATTTTGTGCTTATAAATTTGTGCCACAATATCATGGGAGATTATTGACTTTATTTTGCCCCTTCAATCTTATTTACATTTATAGTTAATTGGGGCCCCTCGGATCTATCGCTACGAGAAAGATGAATCTGCTGTCAGCTCTTCTAATGAAGTTATAACTGATGATGACCGGTGGATTAGAGAAAGTGATTTTACCCCAGGCCATTGCATTGGTCAATCTTTTGCTTTGTATTTGGAGCTTCCTCGAGCAGTGCATCTCCCAAGATTCGATGAGATTTCCTACTATAAGAAAGTTGAATGCAATTTCACGCTGGAGAATGGTTCTACTTATTCTTCTAACCCGGATTTGGTTCCTGTAATAAGTCCACCGCCAGGTTTTGACTTGCCTTTTGGTGTCTTGTTTAAAGTAAATTCTTTGGTCCAACACGGTTGTCTGCCTGCGCCAATTCTTGATGCCACTTTCTTTGAGTTGGTTGATCCACGTAAAATAGATATTTCCTTCATAGAACATGCATTAGAGAGAATGTATAGCTTCAGAGAATGTTGCTACGAACCTGCGAAGTGGCTAGATGAGCAGTACAAGAAATACCGGTGGTCGGAAAAAACTATAAGACCTCCCATTCTTCCCTTTGATGATGGATTGGTGGCTGTGAGAAGGATTCAAGTTACACCATCTAAGGTGTATTTCTGTGGTCCGGAGTTGAATATCTCTAATCGTGTGCTGCGGAATTACATTCGAGATATCGATAATTTTATTCGTGTTTCTTTTGTTGACGAGGAACTGGGAAAGATACATTCAACAGATTTGTCCTCAAGCACATCTATTAGTGATGGAAAGCATACTACAGTTTATCAAAGGATATTATCAACTCTTAGAAATGGCATAGTTATTGGTGACAAGAAATTCGAATTTCTTGCTTGTTCATCAAGTCAGTTACGAGAAAACTCCATTTGGATGTTTGCTTCGAAACCTGGGCTTACTGCAGTGGATATCAGAGAGAAAATGGGTGATTTTCATGTCATAAGGAATGTGGCCTCATATACTGCCAGATTAGGGCAGTCTTTAAGCTCATCTAGGGAAACTTTGCAAGTGAGCATGAATGAAATTAAGGTCATAGATGACATTGAAATTGAAAGTGGTGAGAACAAGTATAATTTCTCTGATGGCATTGGAAAAATATCTGCTAAACTTGCCAAGGCAGTGGCTA